GTCGTTTTTGGGCGAACCAACTAGTCGAGAGAGAGAGAGGGAGAGAGTGTGAGAGAACTGTGTGCATGATTCAACCAATTACCTAATACGACCAATCGAATTCGCCATCCATTTCATTCGCACTCGCACCACTTGGCATTTTCCGACCGATGATTCTCTGTAACCGGCTTCTTCATTGTATTGTCGACGTCACATCAGCAGCAGCAGCAGTCACACACACGTCGTATCATTAGACCTGAATAATCAATGTGGTTTGATTGAAAACGTTGTCTCATTTACGAATGCCGTTCGTTCAACTCGATTGAATTATTTTTCGGTCGCTTTTTTTCGCCTCGGAAATTCAGAAAATTGATGCGAATAGCACGAGATGTGCAAGTGTATGTGACACACTTCAAATCAATCGCATTTCGGGCTTTCTTCTTGACTCATTCTCCTGCTTTCGCTCGGTTTCGTTACGACAATTCTCCGGTGTCGTTGTGTTCAAGTGCGCGTCATGCAGTCTAGCGACATTGATTGATCCGATTTGTTGTTACTCTTCTGATTCTTGTAACTTTTTCATTTCGATCTCCCTGTCTAACTGTCTCATTCTCTGACTCTCGTTCACTCATTCATCCGTATGTGTGTGTGTGTGTGTTTTTTTTTCTGGGTTGCCACTTGTTCGTTGCATTTTCACTTGAAAGATTTTCCATTTTGGATTTTGGCAATTTAGAGTATCGAATAGATTATTCGTCATGCAGCTTCGATCCGAAATCAATTTCGATTTGCTGCCATCTCTCGATTTTTCCCTCTCATGGCCATTTTTGTTGACGCTCGTGTTCGGTTCATGACGATGGAGCGAGAATGAACGAGTGTATCAACATATATTTTGCATTATGCGGTTAGATTGGTTGCACTCGATACACGAAATGCACACATTTTCACATTTAACGAGAGACAGAGAATGAGATGTTGCAGGTTGATTCTTTTTTTCTTCTGTGGACACGAAGCAAAAAGATCACGTCAACCGACACAACTCGTATCGATTCGATACTATTGAACGATTGAACACGGTAGTAAATGCGATGTCGATATAAAGGCAAAATATCGATGGGATTCTCTTTGTTCGTTTCGTATTTTGGACGCAGTAGCATTAAAAGAGAAAATTGTAAGTAATGTGTATTTGATGTAAGTGTTTACATTTACGGGGCAAAAAAAATTGCATCGAACACAACAAATGCAGATGTTATTCCCATTCCGAATAGTGAACGAGTCAGCGTTTGCCAAAGATAACGTAATCTTCATCGTTGGTTCCGCTTATCGTATGTACGGTGTACACCGATACATACTCTGTATGCCATCACTATCGTCGGCTGAAGTAGCCGTGTGGCGTCGTCAACAAAAAGCACAGCAAACTTTGACAAAACTGAAATAAAATGGGAGGGATAGAAAGAGAGCGAGAGAAAAAAGAAGTAAAAAAAAACGAAGTGGCTGTAAAACTTTGCAACATTGGATTATTCATCAGACCGATTTTCTACCAAGATCAGTGCATAGCGATTGCTTTATTTCGTATTCGACGCGTAACAAGTTCTCATACTCATCGTTGCAAAATTCCTATTTTTATCTCACATGGCCCTTGTACACACATATAAATTCGGAGTTGTCTGCTGCTTTCTTGCTTGATTCCTCGTTCTTTTCGTCTGCCTTTTGCCATCGCAGCCGCCATAGCCTTCATCATCCTTGTGCTCGTCTCAAGCGACAGCTCCAGTGTTTTGTGTGTGTGTGTGTGTGTGCTTGCACCACACTCGTCATTTTACATGCATCCATCCATTCGCTGCCTGCGTACATGGAATAACAAATAAGCGTAGATCCGTGTTTCGAATTGTTTGTGTGTACAAAAGAATGAAATATAAATGTGCATTGCACACATACATATATATATATATATATATATATACGTTCGTTCAGTGCTCATCCATATTTACGGTCAGAGTGCTCGTGCAGCTTTCCTCGTCAGTGCGACCGAGCATCGTTTCTCGGTTTATTTGCCTGACTTTGAAAAACCAAACGGAACTTTCCATGAGTTCAGGGTGTGTCTCATCTCTCTTTACTCGTTTTGTGAGCACACACACACACTGTGCAGCGCTCGAGAGCATTTTCTTTGGAACTTTCAACGAGAATCATACGAGAAGAGACGAACGTTCAGTGATCTGTATGAATTAAAAAGGCCCTTAAATTTACTTACCACTGAAAAATGTACGAAGCAAAACCAAAGCCAAAAATATGTTAACATATGACGCGAACACAAGCACAAACACTGCCGAAACCGGATTAAAATTACGTATGTACTATGTGTGTTGTGTATGTGTATGGCAAAGTCGTAATTTTTTTATGGACGTTTTCCATCGCTTTCTCACTCATAAACATAAATGTCACGTGCTTTGTGTCGAGGCTTTTTGCATTTATTCCGCTTGCATGTCTGGTCATTTCTGGCCGAGCATAAACATAATTTATATGGAGACAGGCTGTGTTGATGTTACAAAAGACGCACAAACACAGCAGTGACTCGTGGAGCCGAAGCGGGCCGAGTGAGTGGCGGGGTCAGTCCGAATTATGAATTCGTCGTAATATTTTATGCGAACACAAAACAAAGAAATAAATCAACTGGCCACTGATTACTCGTGATTATATATTTATTATTCATTTGACAATGGGCATTCAGGCGATTCATCAAAATGAAAATATGAAAAATGAAAGAAAATGCAGTGTGCGGTGTTACATGGGGCAAAAGCCACGGGGCATTTTAAACATACGCGGCCAGCGTGTGATGATGATGAGGATGATTGTGTGTATTGCATTATGTTGAAAATTAGCAAAAATTTCATTCGCAAATACAAACATGACCGCATCAAAGGCCCAATTCAAAATGGGTTGTAGTAAAATGCGACCGACATAACATATTCCCTGATTTTAATATTTTTTTTTGTGCAATTATCTCAAATTTTTCCGCTTTTTTCTGATGGAATAGACACTCACCCCTAATGATAACGATGATGATAATGCAAATGGCAAAAAGCTTTGTGCATTTTAAAAGCTTTTCATTGATTATGCCATGCTATTTGATTCTGTTGATTAAACCACAGTCACGGTTCGTTGTGCATGGTTCGAATGTTGAAAATTAGATGTGTGCTTGCCATTACAATCATGGTTGCTCTTCTTCTCTCTTTCTATTTCTCTTCCGCTTTCGCTCTCGCCCGCTCTCCCTCTTCTTCTTCTGTTCGAAATTTTTCGCATGAATGCATTTTTATGACTGTGTGATATGAATGCAATGCAAATAATCTGCGGATATTCCCTCCATCTCTCTCTTTCTCATTTTTACTCGTGTGTGCTGTAACAACTGCTAGCTATGTTTCGGTTACATCATTTCATCCCATTTGTTCGGATTAAAGAATAACCAAAATGAATCATTGTTCTGTACATGCGAGATAAACCAATGTATGTGGGCATTTGTGTGGATATTCCATTTGCAAATATGATTTGATCCAGGCATCGTCTTCGTCCAAAAACCGATTCGATTTCACCAGCGTCCGAACAACAAGCATGCAATGGATTTGCATTTTTCTATGTGCTCTCTCGATTTGAAGGAATTGAAAGAATTTCGAAAAAAAAAATTGAGGAAAAAAAGAACATTCCATCCCAATCACTACTTAGTTGTGACGATGTTCGATTTGCATCGAAATCCGAATGCTTTACAAATGATTCGCATTAAATACAGCATATCCAAACGATTTGTGTAGAGCTTTGTCACTTGAGTCTAATAAATTATCGATTTAATCCACTGCTGCTGAGCGTCTTCAGCAAATTTTACTATCGGAAACAATGGGATTTTGTCATTGAGTAACTTTTATTATCGTTCTGGAGACTGGAGATGGTATAAGGCGATTGGTGTGATAGCATTATTTGTGGGTTTGTGTGTGTGTGTGTGTGTTATGAAGAGTTGAGTAAATTCTTCGTTGCTTTTTCCCAAAAGTAGTCGAATGCAAACACTGAGGCTTCTGGTGTAGCAACTAAAAATGTCCGATCGAACATGTAAAGTATTCTGTCAACAGCATTGAACCATTTGCTATTAAATGCGTATCGGATAAATTTCAATCAATTAAACTGAACACAAAACCCAATAGAGCGAGAGCGAGAGACAACGAGAAATCACAAATTGTGCAAAATGGATACACCAATGTCCATTTGATACGTTTACAAATAAATGAAGAGAGAATCAAATTGCCATGGAGTAATGGATTTTCATGAAGATGAACTCGGGGCTACTACATTCGAAGGGAAAAGATTTAAAAGAGATACATTGTGGTAAACAATTGAATTACAAAATTGTTCGCATTCCAAAGACGTGCTACTCGAATATCTTAATTGAGTTGCATGGTATTTCTGCTGTTGAAAGAAAAAAAGTCTTCTCATAACACATTGACAGGTCGGAAAATAATCAATACGATATGAGTAATTGATTGAGATGAACGTGAAGTGAATCAAATAAATATTTTGCTGATAGCAAATTGATGCTGAGTGAATTGAAATATTTTGCAATTGCTTTTCTATTGAAGACAGATAGTGTGTCTATTCCATTCGAAAGAAATAGTCTTAATAGTTTAAAGCGATATAGCTGCCTCTGCGCAGTTCATCTTCGATGGGCATATCAGAATTTTGTGAAAATATGCTTTCAAGCTCCTGAATACCAGCAACTATCCAACGTTGGCAACAATTCAATTTATTTCGATGGAATTTTGAATTTAGCTCATTTCTCAGGCAGATGATGGATGGATGGAATAGGAAATAACTTTAACCCAACATTCCAATCATTTTGATGATTAAATTCAAATACATGTTCAAATTTCCGATATGTTTGTCTCCACCCAACCGCAAAACTCGTTTATTAATAAATAATTCTATTAAATATAAAATCCACACATAAATTCCAATTTACTGATCTCGGTCTGTCATTTATCTATTTTCAGAAATACCGTTTACAATTTGAGCATAAGCGATTTCACCGAACAACGGCGCCTGGTTTGGCATTCACCCGAAAATGACGTTAAAATGTGTGTAATGAAAGGAAAAGACGATGTAAGTATATCAAGGATTCTATTTTAATTGGCCTTGCATGCAATATTAAATTCGCTGTCGCCTAAAACACTCAATATCACATCGATTACACTACTTTGACCAATACAAGTACACTGCGGAGTGAACGAAGTTGCGCAAAAAGCCAAGCAAATAAGTTTTGCCATGAAAATGGCTCATGTCACACGTCGCAGCACATAATATGATCATTTTTTTCCGACTTGTCACACCATCAATAGAGATAATTGTTAATATTTTATTCATGCGAACGTATCCTACACAATCTACTTGGATTTGTTGCGATAGAATTTGTGCCACACATTCAAACCATACCAACAATTACTTCAATTCAATTAAGCCAGTGTGTGAAGATTGATATATTTTTTTCGTTATCGATATTGCTTCGCTAGTCGATATCTTAAAAGATTTGTGTTCAAGAAGTCGAAATGGAATTGTCAAAATAACGGAACTCTGGCTGAAGCATTAATTTTTGTCGAATTCACACACGCATAAAAATATTGCCAAAACAAAATCCGATTGTATTGTCATTCGAATGGAAATGGTGAAGCATGCGGCTGAAATACGATTTGAACACAGCATTTTTGTGTGGCTGAAGCCAGAGGTTTTGTTGAGATCATTAGAAAAGAGAGAGAGCAAGAAAGCGAATCAAAACTAAGACGATGTGAAAAGGAGCGGCGACGAGCAAAAAGTGGTCGTATACCATCAAAATTATCACTGATATTGAGCCTAATCGAATTCTTTCGGGTCGTTTCGTTTTCATTCCGAATAATGCATGATACACATAAATTGTTATTATTGAACGTTATGTTCCAACAACAGCAGCAGCAGTATCACTACTTGTAAGTGGTATTTGGTTGGGATGTGTGTGCTTTGTGTGTCATGACTCTCAGGCGGTCGTCGTAAACTCTGAACGCGGAGGAGAACGAGAGAATAATCTGTCGTTGGCAAACAACATACCGTAATTTATGCCAATCAAGATCATTATTTATATCCGATTTTATTTGGTGATGCTAGTATTGGTCGTCATTTGGCGTTGATTTCGGCTTCGTTGGCTTTGGCATTTATGCTCGCATTCATTTTTCGGATTGTCATATTCCTATTTTCGAAGCCATCAATTCACAGGAAAAACACAAACGCATGCACAAAATTCCGTTTTGTGGGCCATATTGATTTTTTTCCCTGTTCTCGTTTCTATTTTTTGCCGTTTCAAGCTCCTTGAATTGGGACACTTGAATCTGTGCTTATTTATGGATCATGCACACGAGAAAAAAAGACGCAAACAATAACAAACGGAAAAAAAACGGAAATACATTAATAAACTAACGATACACGCACCAGAAGGCTGCCAAAAAACCCAGTATCGAATAATAAAAAATGGATACACTCCAATAAGAGGATGTGTCACTGCACATTTCCTAGCAAGTAGTTTCTGCATTGCAAACACTGTTGGCCTAAAAGCCAAATAAAATGAATGATAGAGTGTTTTCGGCCCATTCATTGTGGTAAACTAACGATTTTTACAACGGCAAGCATCACAATACGAATTATCCAAATTGCACATCGATGAAATTGGCAGACTATCTCAGCTCAATTCTAAAATAGCGTAGCTCACTTCTGAAACTCAAAAGCAACAACATACATTTGATTCGATTTTCCTGGCGAAAATCCAATCCTATATCAATAACATATACTAACGTCGAAATTCCCCCACACATTTTAATCACCCGATATGCGATTGAGGTCTTTTGTGATTCAATTCGAATTTTCGGATGGAATTACGTTAAGTGTATAATATATTGTATTTCATTTGGTTGCTTACCTCCATACAATATATCCTCGTACAGGTATTCCATTCATCTGTATTTCAATCCAACATATTACCGACTTGGTTTGCGGCGCGGGGAGGAAATCGAGTTGAAATTTCATTTTCCCATCGAAAATATCATCCAAGAGAATAATAGAAGTTTATCGGATTATACAGTTCCATTTATTAAATGTGTATTAGATTTCGCGATTTTCAAAATGTGTCGCATCCCCTGTGTTGTTGCGATTTTGTCATATTTTATTTCGCCTGGATCTCAGTTTGAAATCCATTTCTAACTCAGAGTTTATTCATTGCAAGTGATACAATTGTTCTGACATGTCATATTTTTTTGTTTAGTTTCAAGCAAAAAGCATCAAAATTCCTTTGGGAATGCCCAAAATATCGAACATTTTATATCATCGTGCCGATGATGGGGAGAAACAATATGCTATCAAAATAATCAATTCATCGATGTGACACGATTTATTTCATTTCATTAATCACAACGGAAAGTTGCGCCAGTGTATTTGGGATTAGGAGATTCATTCAATCGAAAATCGTTATGAAAAAATAAACGAAAAATTTATTTCGTCGATTAGATTAATAAAAAGCGGGGAAATAAAAACCAATTTTCATTGTGTGTGGAGGTCTGTGTGTTGCAAATATTCTTTATGATTCCGATTCAGTTTGAGAAAATCGAACTGTAAATGGTATATGGCCCATCAAAGCACACACACATACAAACACTATCATTCATAATAATTTGAAACCGAGTTGCTACACGACAGGCAAAAAGTCACCCAACACCCATATTCAACTGAGCCACACAAGCAAAAGTATAGCCTAGAAAGAAAACAGAAAAAAAAACACACACACAGCGCAAGAATCGTGAAACTTTAACAATAAGCAAATGGCATAAAATCGATGATATATTCGAAAAGTTTTCCTTATTTTTGCCACCAAATCTAATAAAATGTGCTTTTTTGTTGCTTTCATTTGCTCTCGCGCGCGTGGGCTCCCTCCCCTTCTCTTGCTGTGTCGTCGATGGGTTCTGTGAAGCGCGTCTTCATACAGTTCTTCATTCGAGTTTAATATTATTCGTTTTCTTTTACTGTTTGATGCGTTCAGTCTGCTTTTTTCCCGAAAAACCAATCGATTTATGCGCCTCGTGTCGTCAACAATGTTCTTGCTTTATGCTTCTCTCTTGCACGCTCTCTCCCGCGCTCCCACTCTCTATGTGTTTTTTTCTGCCATACGCTGTGACCGAAGCACAGCATAAACTTTGTTCCAGAGCTTTTTGTTCAGTTATTAACATTAAAATACGGATTTATTGCTTTAGTGGAAAGTTTGACATGTCATTTGTGCTCTCAAAACTTCGACGAGAGCGAACAAGAAAGAGAGAAAGAGAGGATGGGAGCATTGAAAGTGACAGGTCACTTTTTGGTGCTTTTCGACTTTTGTCATGATAAACACAACACACACACTCACACACATTACCGCTACTCGGACTACTGTTTATGATTTATATTTTTTCGATGCGCATACGGCTTCAATATATCTAAGCATCTTGCTGTAATATGAAAAGCATCCGTCGCATTAAATTATCGGATTTATTTGGTCTTTAATTGTCACATAAATTATATTAGCCGACAAAGATGTGGTTAGAAACCATTAGAACTGTTCGCTCTCTATTCGCCCATTTTTGATATAGCCCGAAACCAATTTCATACATATGTTTTTTCGTCTCTTTTCAGGAATCGTGTCAGAATTACGTTCGGATATTGGCACAGCCATCAAACGATAAGTTATTGGTGTGCGGCACAAACTCATTCCGGCCCATGTGCCATTTGTATCAGATCAATGCAACCTCATATACACTAGAGACTGAAAAATCTGGACAAGCGATTGTACCGTACGATCCGCAACATAATTCAACGTCAGTCTATGTTGGTAAGTAAATTCCCGCATCAATCGTTACTCTTTTTTTTTCTCTATCTCAACCGTTCACAGTAGAATTTACATAGTTTCACTAAAACTATGGCATAAATGTGGAAAACGCTTTTGGTCATTTGAGGCAAACGAAGTATTTCGCTTGATTTGCATGTGAACGGAACGGAGTAAAAAAGAAGAATTAGTAAAATATTCGATTTACAAAACAGAAAACTTTTTTTTCTCTCTCTCTATTACACTCGTCGGTGCCCAGAATTTCCACAGAATAATTTAACCACGCATAAATCTCAGTTTACAACTAGTTCTGGTCATTAAATGTCACTTGACTCCACAAAGCCGAATTTGCATATAATTCTATCTGTGTGTGTGTGTGCTTCGTTGGCAAAGACTTTGATGAGTTGATGCAGAAGAAGAAAGGGTAAATTAAAGAGAAAAGCACATTTGCATTTAATATGGCAACCGAGAAAGTGGAGAGTGCCCAATGCACATACACACAGAGAGAGAGCACGATAGGAATAATGTGAAACTTGAGCAAACTTTTGGTGAAATTGTCCACCCAATGTGCAATGTGGCAATTGCGTTACAATGTGTATGTCTCAGAAGTTCGGTGTAAGTACAACTTGGCCGACTAAAATATTCGCATTTGCAAAATGCATTAATGCTAAACACGCATCGAAAATGCACACGAAGCAAATTAACATTGGACACTCGGTTTAAGCAACCAGCAAAGCAATCCTTTTGCTCTATTCGGAAGCCGACTTGTTATATGCATGAATGCGTTAAACGTTGAATGCTCTCTGCCGATTTAACATTTTCAGCATTTGGACTTTAGTACCTGCTTCCGATTTCACTGACTCAAAACGTTTCATTATGTTTATGTTGTAGTTAGAATTTTTTGTCGTCATCGTTGCTGTTGTTGTTGTTGGGGTGTGTTGTGCTCACTTTCGATAACATGAGCCTTAAATGGAATGCCATGTTATGAGTTTTAAAAGCATCAACGACATTTTAACATTTTGCACCTTCGTAACAAAACCAATTCCAAACAACCAAAGCTGATGTATGCACAATGCACATTGCACAGTGCACACATTCAATTTTGCAAATCGGCGAGCTTTTCAGTCTCTTCCCCTCTCTCGATTGATTTCCGGAGTAAAGTAAATGCAGTGCATAAACGCCACTTTAGCATCCATCAATAATGCTTGGCAAATAACCATCAAATTGTCAACTTCCATCATATGAAATGGTCATTACGATGTGAAAATTCGTTCATTTCAGAATTTTAAAACTGAAAAGAGCTTCTCTGTTTTCAATGGCGTACAATGCAAAAGTCGAAGCAAAAGATTCGAGTGCGCTTTTCAGTGTGAGTGAATATGACAAAAATCTTCAATATCATCGCAAGATTTATTACACTTTCGGAAAGCGAATTAAAGCTGAAATCTGCTTTTAATGGAGAAAAGAGTGTGTTATTATTATGTTCAATTTCAAAAAGCGATGATACTCAATATCCGGCACCCAAGCGCACCATTAACAAGAGCACCGCCAGCCATCCAGCACCAACGACGAGCTGATGAAATAATGTTTGATGAAAAAGCACAGCTCGAAATACGCTGAAGAAAAAAGTGTGTGTTGAAAAGAGAAAGAGAGTGATAGCTAAAAATGGAGTTGAACAAACGAATCATATTGGGTATCAGACGGAATAGTTTATCATTCAAGTAGCATTAGCGTAGCTTATGGTGTGAGCCAGCATCAAAAAGTGAAACGGAACACGAGTATCCAAAATGCACTGGTATATTCGGAACACCCGAGCCAAAGTTCATAGAAAGAATCTTTTTCATTCACTGTATCACTTTTCTCGCTGTCATATCTCTCTCTCTCTCTCTCTCTCTCCCGCTTTTCGCTTTTCGGCTGGCGAACAACACGAAATTGCGATGAAATTTAATACATTATAAATTTGCTGGTTCCCTTTTGTCTCGCACGCTTCGTTTGAGCGCAGACATTCCGTGCTCTCGACTGCATGACAATTTTGATGTGTGTTTTTTGTTCACCTTGAGACGATGCGGTTGCTGCGTGAATAGTTCTGAATGGGTTTTAATTCGTAACGCCCGCAAAGCACACTGTTTGAAGAAGTGTAACAACGAGCTTGTACTCGTTCGATACACATACACTGGCTACAGTTATCTCTTCGGTTCGGTTGTACCGCTTATGTAACACACAATGGCAATATATGGCAAACTGCTGCCTGCTCAACTGATAAAATCGTGCAAGCTTTCGCTCGGTAAACAGTACACTTCGTGTATAATTATTTTAATTAAAGTGAACGAAAAAAAAGAGAGGCGAGTGAGTGTTGTATGCTCTTCGGAGAATGGACAATGGGGTTTTAACGGTTGACTGGAAAAAAGCTACTCAGACCGACACACACTCAGAGAAAGCGATAGAACATAGCTGTAGCCAGATGTTATCGTCAATTCCCATTACACTGTTGGACATTGCAGTTTTTGAGACTCGATTTGCCACATATCACTATTTATCATTAGCAGCCAACGTATTCGAACTTCCGATTCTCTATGAGGCACACACTGAGAGAGTCAACTCGGCCAAATCACAAAAGAAATGGCCACACACACACATACATACTAACTACATTGTGTTAGTTAAACCAGCACATCTGCACCATCATCTCACCATTAATTTTTCTGTCAGCGACACATAAAAAAGCGACCAAACAAGAATGAAGCCGAAAACGAAGAAGAAAAAAAGCACCAAAATCGAAAAAAGGGCACATGGAATATGAATGCGGTGCGATCCTGCTGCAAATAAATTGATGGCCAACCATTTCTGCTTTCAATCGAATTCTCCATAATTTGCTCAATGAACGTATTAAATATCGCTCCAATCCTATTAAATTACAATGGAAAAATGGCCTTTTCATTCGCATTTTTTTTTCTTCTCCTCCTCTATGATGTCATTATACGTCCAATAAAGGCGGCAAGAGAGAAAAAGTGGAAAACCGAAAGAAAAAATAACAGCAACAGCAACTCTGTTTCAAAGTTTCCATTTTCGTGACAGTTCTTTGCTCATGTTTTTTCTCTTCTTCTCTTGATGCTGTTGGTGCTGCTGTTGTTGTGGGCTTATTGGGAATGGAAGAATTGTCGAATTAGGAACTGTTGTTGTCATTTTTCCTTACTTTCGGGCTCATTTCAACTAAATAAAATTGGTTTTTAGCCACGCGCGCGCGTTTCGCGATACAGCCGAAATATACAAAGAATAAAATGGTGATTGTTTCGATTTTTTCCTTTCACTTCATTCTTTCTGTTCGTTCTTTGTTTTGTGGCCTCTATCAACGACTTTTCGCAACAATGGCAGCAACCGCAAATCAACATTGTGGCTGCCTTTATGCGAAATTGGACGAGAGAGAGAGAGAGAGAGAGAGAGAGAGAGTGTGTGTGAGCGAAAAAAAAGTTCGACTTTCATTTATCTTAAATAGTCCAGCGTAGAAAAACCGACCCATCTTTCGCTCCAATTAGATGTCGAAACGAAGAGCGGCACAATGAACTTAATGGAAAACGAGAAAACCATTCAAATGAAAATTTCACATTTCGATAACAGAAAGCTGATTGCGAGTATCTAGGAAGTTTTCTTTTCCTCTCTTTTTTCTTCCTTTTTTCATAATAATGTTGAAAACGTGTTCTTGGAAATTCACATTGGATTTCCTCTAAGAAAATTGAACTGAATACTGGCATTGTCATTGGCGGCTTTTGCGGGTTGAAGAAGAAGCTTTGCTGCGTGCCATGACACGAATGACAGAGCATTTTGTTTTAAGTTCCGATTGAATGCATTAAAATTTGACAAAATAATTTGCATGCAAAGTAAATAATGAATAATAATACGTAATGAATTGAAGGAGCAACCGATGCAGGTATTTTAAGATCCAATATATCTGTCGTTATACGTACGTTTACCGACGTTTGTATCATCTTGAGCTTGAATTATGGCGGTTCTGGTTGCCGCCACTGTTGCTATGTTTGCATTCGACAGTGGCTCAAGCGGCACACGGTAAAAAATGTGCTAGCATTTTACATGGAATTCCAATATCCGACGTGTACGGAAAACAAGGTCTTTGTCACCATTATTTCGAATTTAGAGCGAAAATCTTATATTGTTAGTAACAACAATTTGTTACCATTCGCTTGATATATTTCTCTATATACGAATATTTGCTGGTTGTGGTTTGAAACTCCATCGAAATAGCATCTACTCCGTTCTCTGAACCGACTTTGTCTGTTACAACATTCTTCAATCTCTCCATTAAAATACATTAAATGCAGTAGCATCATTAAAATTGTAGTCTAATTTCAAGTCTAGTACAACGTATGCCATACACTCATGTTGTACCAATCTCTGTGAGTGTGTAATGCGTTACATAATGTGCTACAGATTTTCATCCATACGTACAATACAATGCTTATTGTATATGATAAAGCGAAAAGCATTAAGCACCCAGCATCGTTTCGTTCAACTCTATTTATTTAACTTTGTGATGATGTGCGTTCACTGTACAAACTTACGATTTATTATTCAATTCATGCATCAAATGCAAAATTCATTTTCACATCCGCCGCGCATCTAAATCACTATCTCGAAAATCGTTTACGATATGGTTTTTCGTACACGGGCGCGCGCACACATCGACTCAATTTTATGAAAACAATGATGTTGATATGTTTTCGTCGAATCCGCTCAAATTGCACATGATATTTTTGAGGACGAAAACTGCGAAATTACTCTCATTCATACACTCAAACACCAAATTGATCCTTGAATCATTAAAACATACATCGAAACTTGTAATCGACATTTTTGGAAAGGAAAAACCTGAAAAAATTTTAATGCTTTTAAAATTTTGTGCATAATTTACGATCTTATCAAGCGAATGCAAAATTGTGGTGTAATTTGTTTTTTCGTTGATAAAGCTTATCAATTTACCGTCATATTTGTGCATTATGCACAGCCCGGTGACGTCAAAACACTACATCAATGCCACGCGTGCCACATACACTTCGTCATTGTGAGTGAAATTTAAATTCAAAACTTTGGTTTCGCTTGTGCAATTCAAAATATGTTCGGCATGTTGCCTAATTATTTACCAACATGCAATAGTATTTAACAAAAATGTACCACCCGACAAAATGCACGCGACACGGCAGCAAATTTTACATCAAAGTGCCAAAGCCCACGAATTGCCGTGAACAGCAGTGCCGTTGTATGTCATCGAAATTAATGCAGAAAATTTTGCTCGCAAATGCGTATTATTCAAATATTCCACACAAACTTCCCACTGCATTCTGAGTTAATTAGATTACGAGGGCTTTTTTCCATGCAATCGAAACAATAACTTGGTAGAATAATGGGGTGATGGGGCACAAAAATCGGAAGTAACGCACGAACTAAGTGCAATGACGCGTGCTAAGCTAATTTTCAAACATGACGACACGGGCGATGGTAAAAGGGGCTTTCGTGACATTTATATACTTCGTGCATTTTATATTCCGTTTAGAACGTAATAAATTGGTGACATTTGAATTTTGCTCACTTTATTAATAGAAACGCAGTGGCAGGAGTTCTTCAAGCGTTGAAAATCATAATTGAAATCAAACTCTCAAATGGCCATTGACCATGTCGATGTATTTAAACATTCAGATATCAATCGCATCGCTTGAACATTTCCAAACATATATATTGAATCCAGTTAACTAAAAGTTGTGTATTTTGCTCATAAATTTTTCCATTTCTTTATTTATTCGCAGACAATGAACTGTATTCGGGAACTGTAGCCGATTTCAGTGGAAGTGATCCAATTATCTATCGTGAGCCATTGCAAACCGAACAATACGACAGCTTAAGTCTGAATGGTAAGCCAATTCCATTATATTATGTGTTCACCACATCCGTTTTATTTGCAAGTTTAATAGATTTTCAGAGTGGCTTTTTCTTTTTGTTTCGTTGCTCGCACAACAAAATCATTTTTATTTATGTGACAATAACAATAAACCGTGTTTTGTTTATTTTTCTTTCTCTCCTGTTCCCAATGTTGCCAATTTCAGCGCCAAACTTTGTTAGTTCAATTACCAAAGGCGATTTCGTCTACTTCTTCTTCCGGGAAACTGCTGTGGAGTACATCAATTGTGGCAAAGTAAGTTTTCACATCTTATCGACATTAATAATATATTTATTTGGAACGGCCAATGCGCCATATTCATTTGGAATTGAATTGATTGTCTGTTCCGTTGTGTTGAATCGAAGTTCATTTGGTGTTTTAAACTTGTCAATTTGGTTGAGGCGAGGGCGGCGGGGCGTATAATGAAAACTTTGACAATTCTGTTGATACTTTGTTTAACATGAAGGTCTGCTTGATTTTAATGGAAACCAAATTCAATTCAAATTGGTCGATATCAAGGAAATGAGAAATTGTTTGCCTCGTAGTTGAAACCTGATTTTCACATCGTCGTCGTCGTCGTCTGGCACACATTTTGCATGCATAAAGTCAAAAACACTTTTCATGTGTTGCTATTCTCATTCATTGCGAAAAGAACACTGACTCTCTGCGCTACATTCAATATTTTTTTCCCTTCTCTCTCTCTCTCTCTCTCTCTGGTTTATTTTACATCGACCATCGATCGATGCAATGAAAATTCAATTGAAAAACTTTTTATTTTTATGGTATGCGCTCTCGAGAGTTAAAGGGTGACGTTTGAGCTTCTTTCCGGAGTTTGTATGCAAGCATGCAAATCCCGCTCTCTTTCTCTCTCTCTCTCTCTCTCTCTCTCTCGCTCTATGTGCATGCCTTTGCAACTCAAGCCCAAGCAGTTTGCATAATCTTTCGACCATTGTGCTACATTGCAATTTATTCACTTTTTTAAAGAAACTGATTGCATTCAACTTAAGTTTAAATCAGTTCCAAAATAAAGACGATAGTAAAAGTTTGGACCCGATTCCTTTAGTGTGCATTCGTTTGAATTTTGCGATCGAATTGATTTCAATTCCAATGCAGCAGCAGCAAAAAAACGACTTTAAAAAGTTGAGAACGAAAGAAAAAGTGTGTCAATCCGTGTGTTCGACTCTCCGATATCCTTAGGAATGAAATGGTGTTATTTTATGACAACGATAAAACGAAAAGATTAGCAGTGCCTAGAAAATCAAATTCGTTTTTACCGACCGTTTTTTTGTGCTTGCTTCGGACACCATGGAATGAGATACATATTTGTTCTTGTTGGATTCAAGTTTGGGAAATTGAATTTTCACCCATAGTTAGTAGTTTGGTAGTGACACATACCCATAAATTTCAAAGAGCGCCAGCACATAAAACATTCAACGGAATTTTTGTTTCGAAAGAATGTCAAAGTAATTGATTCGATGCTTGTTGAACTTTTTTTTGGAAAATTTGTTGAACATTCTTACAAATTTATTCAATTTTCAAGAATTTACACTCTAAACATGCAAATAAGAGTGATTATTTAAGTCGATTTGTTTATTTCTGAAATGAAGAGACATTTCGACGTTTTTGTGAAGCTGATATTGACGTTTCGAAACAGCTTCAATACAACATCGTCTCTTCTCACATTCACAATATCAACTTTATTTCGTTTTCAACTCGGTGCCATCGATTTCTTCTCTGTCTCATGCGTCGAACAATACAATTTCACACAGTGTTTCACAGTTTAAACTAGAGCTTCACCGGAATATCGAGTGCAGAATAAATGGAAAGAACAATCATTGAAATTGAAATCAATTTATTTATAGAAATGCGAAAAAAATCCATTCAAACAAAACGAAGCTGCATGCGCTTCTTGACGTTTAATATTAGGATGTCAAACGTCAAATGACCTTAAAAGAAATGCATTCCGTTTCCTTGACTCGTGGAAAATCAATATTTCGCAAAACGTGATGTGATTTATCGAGATTGTTTCGTTTGCTCTTTTCCACTATGTCTCTCTGTCGTCCGTGTTATTCATCACGGGCAGGTGATAATTAGCTCTTGATTTGATTTTGCTTCAACAAACCGATCGGGCCATCAACTCTGTGAATTGATTTATTCTCTTTCTTTTCTCCGTTTCGACTATTTCTCTGTTGCATTCAATCGTTATTTAATGTTTTTTTTTTCACAAGATTTATGTGCGTTCTCCTTTCCTCCTTTTTCGAATCAGTTTATTCTTTTCTCGGAGGAGAAAAAAGAAAGCGAAAACTATTTCTAGTTCAATTATTTTGTTAACACTTGATTGGGTTATAATAGCATTGTGCAGGATTACACAGGGCCATCAATCATTCATTCACGGCGCTGAAGTGACTGAAACGAAATTGACTTTCTATTCTTTTTTTCCCTTGGAAATTAAAATGGAAGTGAGCGACGCCGCGCGCATTTTGCGAGCTGCTGTTGGGCAAATACATTATCGCAACTTTACCGTTTTTAAGTTCCAATGTGAAAATGGATTTACGGAGAGAAAAATGAACCTTTCATTTGTAGATTTGAGGCGATAAGAAAAATGTGAATTGCATGCGGGCAATTCGTTTCGGGTGGAACGGAGAAAGAGAGAAAAAAAATTAAAAAGGACGAATGGCATCGTTTGCTTTGTACGCGGGAGTCCGGGAGAGCGAGAAAGGGAGAGAAGAGAAGACTCTCAAATGGATAAAACTCGCGATCGCATGAATGCACAGCGAAACAATTTCTTTCTCCTTGCTTCTCTGTCTTTTATTCGTTTTTATTTTGACGAGAAAAGACCCCGCTTAATTACGACTGTATGTAATCCCAACTCACACAGCGAGAAACAAGTTTAATTACTTTTTAAAGAGTTTTGTTTGCATGTGTTGCAAATTTACATATAGAACACCGTAGACGCAAAGAATGGTTGAGCGTCTTTAATGAAGAACACACATACACAACTGAATCAGGATAGTAATGATGATGATGATGGTGGTGGTGTAAAGAAGAAAAAAAAACAACAACAGTATAGCACACAAAACATCAACCTTTTCGAAAGGATCAAATGCCAACGGCATCGAATAACCCATATTTCTCCAGTGTTTCCATTCTCCATCCTATTATTTATTTACAAATATGCAGCATATTTACTTCTGTTTGAAACGAGTTGTTTTTTTTTTTCATCTTTTATGTTCGTTTTAAACCATGTATGCACATTTGCCGACCCGTTTGAACATCAAACCAGAGATTTATTGTTCAGTGCAAGAAGAAGAGTTTATGTATGAAATAATTTTGAATTGATGTTGCAACTGAATTTCGTAAGCTTACTCGCTTCTTTTGTTTTGTTGACTCAAATAAATGTGCCCGCATTGGCAATGGCTGACGGGCATTTACTTCTTATTTGCTTAACTGCTGCATTCTCTCTCTCTCTCTCTCTCTCTCTCTCTGGCTCTAGGTATCTCGAAAATTAATATTTCCTTTGCTCAGCAATCAGTTCAAAATACAATTATAAGGTTATGCAAGCGGAGAATGAATTAAAATCAACAGATCTTACATATAGAAATGCCAAAATGTGAATATTTACCATTTCAATGCGCATTCGGCATGAAGGCGAATATCAATTTTAATCAAATTCACTCGTAACACACATATATATATACCTAACGATTTAACTTAATTACCAATTACATTGATTTAATTCTGTATGTGTTTTGTTTGTTTCTTTTGCAGGCGGTTTTCTCACGTGTGGCACGTGTTTGCAAATGGGATAAGGGCGGACCACATCGATTTCGGAATCGTTGGACATCTTTTTTGAAATCTCGCTTGAATTGCTCCGTACCAGGCGATTTTCCATTTTATTTTAATGAAATACGTAAGTGAATACTTTTGAATGCCTTTCCATTTTATGGTAATTTCCAATGGATGCACTTGGATATGCATGGAGGAAATGTCGTACACCAATCTAAAATACAGCATCACCACATATTTGAGATGGCATCGGATCGGGTGATGGTGACGGCGGCCAGGACCTGGAAATGATGTAAAATTCGCAACATTCGTCATTTTATACAACGAACAATCCAAAGCAATCGTTATTTTTGTTGAATGAAATTCAATAAAATGCATTGACATGGTGCGGTTCGATGCAGGAAGCCAACGAATGAACGAATGACCGAGATGTGAGACAGAGAAAATCACGTAGAAACGGATTTTCATGTGCATGCGATTGGTACATACAGCGAGAACAAATTGCATACGATCTATTCATGTGTGAATTGAATAAATTTTAATCTTCAATTTCGTTTTGTTTTCTTTGCACTGCACCAGGGCAAGCATCAGAGAGATGGGAAGAGGAGAGAATCAGTTTTTCTAATGGTACTGGCGTGAGAACCATTTCACAATTGACATTTTATAGTCACTGAATGCATACAACAGTTGCACGGACCACCTTGACTATAAATGCAAGTGTAACCGCAGCTACGGCTATCAATGAACTCCATTCGACTAAAGCGATTTAAACGTGCACACTCAATTCGACTCGAAATGAATGAACGACCGAACGAACGGAAAAAAATGAAATACTATAAAACGGTTGGATATTGTGTGTTGGTTGTTTTTGACTTCTACCATCCCAAGTGTTCCTTCCCTTTGGTCTCTCGCTCTGGCTGTGTCTCGATTCAACATGCTTGCCCAACGTTTCTTTTGCATATTCGGAAAACGCCGCGCTAGATACAACCATTTGGGAATCGATCGGAAATCAATTTAATGTCCGTTCTTTTTGGGTGATTTTACGATTCTCCAAATCGGCATGAGAAACGAGCGAGAGAAAGAGCTGCGCTTGAAACACGTAGAACCATCTCAGGCCAGGGCCAAAAAGTGGAAAGTTGTAAATCTATAATATTTGCACTGCACTTTTGCTGTGTACTGCAATCGGATACATCGAGCATTATCGGTGCCCGAACTGTTGTAGACATTTACTTGATTTCCTTTGTGTCATTTATTATTCGAGCCGAGTGCGCGCTGAGAATTCACACAAGATTCAAAGCTTTCGCTCTCTCTCTCTACTCACACTTTGCTTCTCACTCTCTCGCCTGGCTCTCTTGTGCCAGATTTTCCTTCTTTGTGTGCAGTGTATGGGATTTTTCATTCCTCTTTGTTCGGCGCATAATGCGCATTCGAGTTTTTAGCTTTGATTGTAATTTTCCAAATGCAAGGGCTTACAACACTCGCTTTTTTCTCTTTTCTCTGTCTGCTTCGGTGTGCAATTTGGGATAGTGCACATAACGACCGAAATCATATCAACGTCATGTTGTTGTACAGTTAAAGTGGCATTTGGATGTGGTTGGACCCAAAAAAAAACGGGACATTGCATGGAATATGAATTAAGACCGCATTTATGCATCGATTTGAGTAATGCACATTGATGCAACTGCATTTGAAACAACAACAACAGCAAAAAGCTCACTTCTTTCCGCCGCATAATACTTGACACAATAAAATTGAAATTTTCTAAACTCGAACAATTGAATTGATATTTGAACCAAAAAAAAAATATTGTTTCATGTGAACATTACCAGCGCAATATCAACAGCAGCAGGCGATGAGTGTTTTTACAAAGCCAGCAATGCATTCCATATATTTCTTGGCGAATGTTTGCACAAGCAACGAGCACTCAATTTTTCTATTTTCTTTTTGCTGAACTCGAACCACACACACACACACACACACACACACACACACACACACACACGCACGTATATGTATTCATCAAAAATGAGCAGTGTGCCATTTTATTATTATTCTGCTCCTATTTTTTTCTCTCCACATTCGTTCATTCGCCAACGAAATTATTTTCATTCCAATTTTTGTCTTTTATCTTGCTGAACCGAGACTCCGCAATTGTGGAAAAGTAAGGAGGAAGAAAAGAAAATGCGGTGAAAATCCACCTAGTAACAATTCAACATCTCAAATACGCGCACGCACATATACGATTCCCGAAACGATGCGAGAAATATTTTTTCTTGGAGTATTGTTTTTCTTTTATTCGCCGAGGATTCGCTCGTAAGCCCAAACTCCTTTTTCCTACTCTCTCTCTCAAAGTTATACATCTTTCTTGAAGGAAAAAAAAAGAGAATTCCGGAAAATACGTAAATATTTTTGTGAATTCTTCGCATGTGTATTTGGTATGTGTGCCGTTGTCATTGTTGCCGCCGCATTTTCATGTCGTTTGTGCTTCTTTCTCTCACTCTCACACTCCATTTAATTTGTGTAAGAATAAAGAATGAAAAAAAGAAGCGAAAAAGAAGAACGAAAAGTCTTTCACCACTTACAACTGCTGGATTTTCTCTGTTGTGTATCCCTTGCTACAGGATAAGGAAAAAAAACAACATAACACACACTCGTAAGTGCTTAAAGACCATATGCACAAAGCAAAACACAGAATAGCATATCGTTCAGCACAAAAATGCCCAACGCAAAAATTCATATCGCAATGCAAAGAAAGCATAACGATGGAAAGTTTCAACACGTTGGAAAAAAATAAACACGACGGAGATTGACACACATATAGTCACAATATGGGCAACACAGAGAAAAACAAAAGCAGTAAAACAACAAGAAAATATTTTGTCTCTTCGTTTCAGCAGCAGATTCTGGGCGACAAGGAAAAGCAATTTCCGAAGTTGTTTTTCTATTGTTGGTGTATGCTCTTATGTTGGCTGCTGTTGTTTGTTCCCAATATGAACAGTGACATTCACCCGCGCACGCACATCGCACATCGCACACACACTGCCTCGCTTGCGCTGTCTCTTTCACTACTTATATGAATGTTGATAATTCTTTTTTCTATGTTCTTTTGTATTGTGTGTGTCACTGTCGCTCTTGTCCCTTGGAACAGTTGTTCGTTTTGCCATTTACTGCAAACTCCACTGATCTCTCTCTCTCTCTCTCTCTCTCTCTCTCTCTCTCTCTCTCTTGCATTCACATCTTCTTCACTCATCTGTTTGTGTCATTTTACATCTTTTTTTATTTGTTTTGATATTGCTCGTTTTTGTGTCACGCGGATCTCGCTCACGCTCTGCTCTCATTGCGATACTTCACCCTTTTTTTCTCCATCCGCTGTTATTATTTAATATTCAAGCGATACAGCCAGAACTTTGTTTATGAGTTCAAATTAAAAGAAAGAAAGAAAGAAAAAAGCAGCATCGTAAAGAAGCAACAACAACAACAACGGCGACTGAAAAATTTTTTTTAGAAAACTCGGAATAATGGAAACGATGATGTACGTCCAGATGGGAGAGCAAAGTGAATGCCAAACGTGAAACGGAACGGAACGGAAGAATTCTCTTTCTCCATTCTCGCTGACATTTGCTTCGAATCAAAAAGTAACGCAAAAGCGAATAGATACAAAGTTATGGCTTGATTTTATTTACTCTTGTCATTCAGCGCTTCATTTTGCTTCGCCGCTTTTTTTGCTCTTTCATTCGTTCCCAAAAATAGTTTTCAATAAAATTGTAATCATCGTGAGAAAGATATTACTATACAAGCCGTATGTTCGAAGTTTATTACAGTTGGCAAAGCAATATTCACCGAACATCGCATGGATTAATTTAATTTCATTTGGAAAATGTACCACAATAAAAAATAAATAACAGCATTGCTGTTCGATTGCTGATGTATCGTTTGTTGGGTTGCTCTAGAAACGACAGCAAGCAGCGATAAACAAACGCCCGGAATTGCATGTGGAACAGCAGAGGCTGTTTACAAAAGTGCAAATGTATGCTATGATTTAATCGAATCAGTCGTCGCCAAAGTCCAAATGCGAACCGAAAGCGCACTGTCACGCTGTGCAAACAAATTGAATACGTTGGCGAAATACCGACACAAATCAAACAAAAGCGTTCACTTGTTTCCCGGTTTATTCTTTGTTTTTCCTTTTGCTTTGATTTTTTTTTCTCTGCCCTCCATTCGCCTTCTTCCATTGCATCGTCACTTTGAAATGGTCGCCCGGATTCTTTTTTTACGCTCTTTCAATGGCGAGAGAGGCAGTAGAGAACGGTGAAGAATTCCCCTCGGCAGAGGTCATCTATTTCTTGAGTTGAATGTTTCCAATATTTATTACACTTGGGAACAGCATGTTATGGAACAAAAACAACAAGCAAACACGACAAAGTTTAAAAATTAAAAAAAGAAAATATGACAAAAACAAAACACCAAAGAACGAACCAACGAAAAAATAGTTTCAAACAAGAAAAAGGAAGACGATGTTAAAAAAAAGCAGCACATCGTGTTTCGCATCAAATCCTAATTAAAGAGTACAAAAATTTCATAGAAAACTTCTGACCCGGTGCAGCGCTCCATGCATCCTCTCAAACATCTTTGCCATTAATTGTCATTTGAAAATTAATTTTTAATTTTTTTTTCTCTCTTCTTTTTCTTCCTTGCTCACTTTTTTTTCTCTCACGCATCATACAGAATCTGCCAGTGGATTGGTTGAAGGTCGTTACGGTCACGTCAATTCCAAGCTCATTTACGGAACATTCACAACACCAACAAATTCCATTGCTGGCTCAGCTGTTTGTGCATTTTCATTGCAGGTAAGTACACACCAACACACACACACATATTTTCCTCACCGTATTTTTACTTCGTTTGTTACGCACGCGTTCAAACAAACACATTTTTGCTCGTCAGTAAATTTGGAGTCGAGTGTTTATCGAATTTGTGCTTTGCAAAGTTGAAGTACGCTGTAAAACTTTTGACTAGTTTAGTTGCGAACGTATTGATGTAATTCAATTTCTTTCGCTCATTTTCATTACATTCATGATGTAATTATTATTTGGATAAGTAATTGCAACGACCAAACTTTTCGTTACGTTACGGACGACGTATATAGAAAAAGTTTTTTTGTGCTCCGGACAGCGAGGAAAGAAAAGCCACTTCGTTTCTCCACTTGGATGGTCATGTGAACTACCGTTGGAATGCCAATTGTGTCGTTTGGGGTTTGGCATTTATTTCATGCACATCGAATTTGTGCACTAGCATCAATGGCAGCAGCAGCAGCAATGCTATGAATTATGTGAGCAAAAAAAAAATTAACCGAAAAAAATTCATTTCCATCCGAAACCGGTCGTATTCATAAAGTATGAACAAGAACATAGAACATTCACCTGACATTGTTCATTGTTCATCCGATAAAGTTGGTCGAGTTGGCATGGCAACAGCGACGATGTCGCATGCACGCGCAACACAGAACAATGACAACTCCGGGTTCAAGAAAATGTTTTTCAAGCTTCATTGCATTTTCTAAATTTAAATTTCGGTGAATTGGCGAAAATAAAAAAGAACTCACTTCATAATAATGGCTAAATGACTGCATTTGAATGCCGGTTTTGCTTACTCGCTCGCTCTCTATCTAGCGGCATTTCCTTTTCCACATGAATACACATCAGCGACAACGAACGAGCACACATCGCAATCAATTGCATCTATTAACATACGGAACATACCAGTTCACAATTGCATTGAGCATAGTGATATTCTTATATTCTTGCATTTCGAAATCGCATTCAATATGCGCACCAGACAAAGCCACATCTGCATGCAGCAATTTTTATATATATATTTAGTTTTTTTTTCTTCCCTTTTCACCAGCATCAATTGAAAAATGAGCACTTTTACAATGCATGACTTGAGTGAGTGTGATTCGTATACGAGCCATTGATTGAAGAGTGGCCCCATAACAATCCTCTCTTGTGAATTCCGAAAACCATCACACTGAACAAGAAAATCCAATGCGCTTGAAAATGAATGAAAAGAACGGCCGAACATACAGAATTATTTAGTTCCAGATCCGAAGCCAATTCGGAATATTAAAAGGAAATCGAAAAACAATTTGTTTTCGCAATGATCGTTTTTTCCCCGTTTTTCTCTCGATTGAGCTCATAAGCCGCTTTCACTATGTTTATATGCTCATGCAATGGCCTAATCTATAGTTTTTCCGCTCCAATTCAACAACTCAACATTTTCTCGATCGAATGCGATAAATTTTTAGCGGCTTTTTGCCGTGATAGCTCGTTTTATTCCCTCTTCCTGCCATCATCAATAGTTTTTTGAGAGTTTGAATGGGAACATTTTCCGGTTTATTAATTTTATCGTGACATCGATTTCACAAATATGGCCGCGATCACACGAACACACACACAAGCTACGCCCTCAAAACCGCTTCACAATTTATTGAAATTAATTGTGTATTTTTATACCGTAGCGAGAACGCGTGAGGATCGCTTATAATAATAGATGATTTTATTATATATCCGTGAATCAACATTGCGGAACGGCGCTGCATGGGCTCTGGACATATCCCATTGGGACCATGTGTCATGTGTTGGCATGTAAAAAGTCAATAGGGTGTGAGGGCAGAAGCTTCTAATTAAGATGACTGCAGTCATTAAAAACTAATGGCGAGAGTGAAGCAGCAACGAACGATAGAGTGAAAAAACACATACAACAAGACTGATTAGCGCATGTGAGTGAGAGTGCGGTATGTGTGTTACGCCATGTTTCCATTTACGTTCTTCCATATATATTTTTTAATCAGTGGAAAAAACATTTGCGCAAAATTAAAATTCGATCGATGCCAGTATGGGAAAGCGAAGGGAAAACTATCAACGAAATTGCATTGGGATGCACAGAGCGTGTAAACGTTTCACCTGTTCAGACTCCATAATATGATTACACTTTTAATCGAAAAACCGCCTGCGATCCACATTTCGATTTTACACCGTGCTGATTGCAAATCGGCGTCGAACACACACACACACTCACACTCGCTCACATATTTCTTTCTCGCGCTCTCTGTGTATTTTTTCAGCACATACCATTTTAATGGGTTTTTTTTTCTGGCTTTTTCCCGTACGCTATTTGCCCTATTCCCGGTCTCATTACTGTTTGACGACGAAATAAATGTGCCAGAAAGCGGGTGGAAAACTCTTGACTCTCTCGATCTTCCGCTCACTCCGTTCTCCGTTCGTTTTCATTCGTTTCGTTCGGCTCAGGGCAAATATTTTCATTTAAATTTCGTTATCGTGCACAAACCGTTTTGCCTCATGTCTTATACCGCCCGCAGTATAGTCTTTTGCTATCTGCTCTCGCTCTTGCCTTTTCTTTCCATTTCAACATGTGAAGAAAATCATTTTCTATTTGCTCTCCTTGTTCGCTTTATTTTCATTTCCCTAAACGGAAGGAGCGAGCGAGAGCAGGAGAGAAACCGAGAAGCGATAGCATGGTACGGTGCAATGAAGAAATGCAGCACATATCGACGGCGGTGGCGACGACGGCGATAATAAAGTGGGCGCTGAAGTAATAAAGTGTGTGTGTGTGTGAAGCCATTTGTGTCGCTTTCCGAAATTATTTTCCGGAATTTTCTTGGCATTCAGCGGAGATGGGGTCTAAATGCCATCTCGTTCGCCAGAAATCAAATAGAAAACCGTTGTTACGCGACGATAAGATATCTCGCTCCAATTTGACGATATATTTATAAGAAAAAAATGAAATGAATTGCTCACCATTCCATTCAATCGCATACAATATGTTTTACCCTATCTTGATTTTTCATGCAGTTTGCGGTTATGTGCGGCATTTGGCTGGCCCCTTGTTTTATTAGTTGATTTTTCATTATTTATTTGATGGCTGTTTCCTTTTACCATGTTCGAACAGGGCAAGTAAAATAGCACAATTTCGAACAGATGTAGTGACATAGATCCTGTGTGTGAGTGTGTGTGTCGAACGGAAAATATGAGTTGATGAAAGAATGTCAACTCGGCTATAATGACTTGGAAAGATAACGGCGATGTGAAGCCACATGTCGAGTGCAATGCGGTGTGTGTGTGTGCCTGTGCATGAAATCCTTTTGCTGCAATTCAATAAGCCGTTATGATATTGTCATGTGAGATGGATCCGATTGGATTATCCCTCACTGGACGTGGCTGTATAAAGCAAAACATTACCCAACATTATCAGCAGCATCAAGAGTGCGATTGTCTCTATCTCTCTCTGCGTTTTTTTTTCTTCATCATCATCAAATGTTATGCGTCGATGTACAGTAATGCATTCTTGGACGCAGTTTTCTTGGCGATGTTCGTTGTTTGAGCTGTTGTTGTTGTTGTTGTTTTGGCCACATATAACTATACGAAGAACATAGATGCTCATTCTTACTTCGGTTCAATTTCAATTTCGTAATTTGTTTCAGTGTGTCACAAGAAACTCGATGTAGGCGATATACAAACACAAAGTGTATATGCTGTGTTGATAACTGTGTGTCTTCGATGCTTGTATACGGTACTATTTTTCTTGTTAAGTAATGTGAACTTACACACACACACTCACATCACAGCAACGAAGTCGGAACAGGCGTCGTTTAGCTGGAAAAGAAAACACACATTGGCTTTGCCACATCGAAAACGAGAAAGTGGCAGAGGAGAGAGAAAAACGAGAGCATGAAAGAGCAATAACAAAGTAAAGCAAAAGACAATGCACAAACAGCAGAAGCATTATGTAGAATAAATGAAAGAGGAGACGTAGAGAGCGAGAGCGAACAGCTTTTGGTGTTTTCCCATTAGTTTGACTATTTTACATCATGAGAACATCGAACAAGTACCACCAAGTTTCATTCATGTGCGATTCGCAAACTGATCTGGATTTTTTTTCCTTTTCGAATTTGCTGCTTTTCGCAATCTTCTTACCGCCGGGTGCCTGTCGTCCAAAGACACAGCAAACATCACACGCACACACACCAACGCCACTTTAACAGATGCGCTCCACATATATTATTATGTGAATGTATGCGTTGCAAACGTTGTTCTTCTATCTGTTTGTGTGCTAAAAGTGCCTCTACCCAACTTGCAATGGACCGAAATGATGATGATGATGAAAAGAAGGGAAAAACAAGTTGCGAGTAAATGAGAAACTGTGTCAAAGTTTTTATCGTTCCATTTCAATTCATTTTGATTTGGCGCTGTCGAGCTTGGACGATGTTTGATTTGTTTCATTGCCATCTTAAATTGTAATTGAACACTTTTTTTTCCATCATCCACATTCATTTCTAACTCGAAGGTCTTGCATTTTCACAGAATTAGTGAATGACTCTTTTTTATGTGCATAGAGTGTTATGTTGAAACTTACATCTCGTTCATTCTACTTCAGATATCTCTGTGTGTGTATGTCAGTTAGTTGAAAAGTGTTTGTTTGACGATCCAATTGATACGATCCGTCGAGCGTATATATTCACATTTCGAGAAATGAGATACACTAACTTAACCGGATTATGTTAACTGTCCTGATCAAAATACAATATCAAACAATTTCGTTCTCTTAATGACATTCAACTCATAAAGATGACGGGCGCAAATACACAACTTGTTTTAAGTATCAATTCTCGATAAATGCGTAAAGAGAGAGAGAGAGAGAGAGAGAGAGAGAGAGAGAGAGAGAGAGAGAGCAGAGGGAATTGGAAATAGTGCAGCTGAGCAAAAGTGACTCGTTGGGGAAAATGACGCAGTTTTATAGTTTCATCGTATCAAACGATGCGATGCACTTGTTTGATGTTGGCGAAATGTGTTTGTAAATATGCAATAACATTGTAATGGTTTTTTATTTCGTTGCGTTCGACGCATCGCTTGGCTCCGAATGGACAGTTTTATCAGTTCTTGTTCAGTCTTTGTTTGTCGTTTTCTCCAATTTTCCAGTCATGTTTTTTCTTGCGAGTTCGGTTAAGTGTGAAACACACACACACACACACACACACCCCATTCCACATTATGAGCCATATTTGGATTATCTATTTTAATTAAATGCCATTGACGTTTTTATTAAAGCCATTCAATCGAACATAAAATTTCTCTGCTCTTGTCGTCACAGACAACAACCGACACGTTTGCAATGTAGTTCTGTTTTTAATTCCGGGTAAACACACACCCACACGTGACATTTGTTTGGCGTGAAATCATCAATTAAGTCCTGAACTGATGATGATGGGAAAAAAACTTTGAGTTTACATTGACGCTGCATGCGTTCGCTTAACGGTTTATCTGCGTCTTATGAGCTCTATAATGATTTACCGATATGACATCTCCCTCTTTCTCGATCTCTCGCTTTCTCGCTCCGTCTCACTCTCTCGCTTCATTGCCTAGACATAAACTAAATGCACGAATATCAAAACAAATCATTTACATGATTAATATGTATAAAATTTAATGCTGATGATGATGATATGCGATGTGAAAAATCAGCAACGACAATTTCCATGGCAAATCATCGCAAAACGTTTACTCTTGCGATACACATTATGAATTTTATGAAATTTCATTGAGTGCTTAAAATTGCACAAAGTAATATTCGTGTAATATCATGAAATGTATCACATTTTAGCAACCAAGCCACGCTGCCACAGATTGAAACGCTTTGCCATTTAACCGATGAGGTTCTATTCTCTATCGTGCCATGTCAAGAGCGATGAAAATAATTTTTCGAAATTATTCCGCGACATCGTTGTATATTCTTGTTCTCTTCTGAGCCACGGGAGACCCATTGCAACAAAGTTGTTTAATTTTTTGTGGAAAATGTGTCTTTTAATCTTGTGTTTCTGTAGAAGAATGCATTGTATGATGTAAACCAACAGGGGAAAAAAGATGCTTCATTATGTGCCAGTCCGATTTATGAATATTTTGGTGGCGCTTGTTCAAAGCAAAGGATTGAATGCAATGTTTGCACATTGAAAAATTCGTTATACAAATTCAAATCCTCGTTATCGCAAGATAATTCCATTGGAAGACAGGGAATGGATGTGAATAAAATCCGTTCATAAAATGTGACAAAACATTGGACACTTATTCAGAGTTGATGTGTGCTTGATTCATTTCTTATTTTAAAAAAAATCTTTTTTCCGTCTGCTGCTGAGCAGCAAAAGGACCAATTTCAAGAGATCAAAAAATAGAGGCAACTTGTTCCGGCGTAAAATAAGTATGTTCATTGCAAGTAGCAGCATTTCATTCATGATATTTTATGCACATTCATGATGAAATATTCATTTTCCCATTCGAATAATAAATGTAATTATGAGCATTAAATAAATGGCGGAAGAGGAACGAATTTGAAAAAACAAAATTAAATAAAAGAAAATGCAAGGGAGAGCATGAGTGAGAGAGAAAGAGAGGCGATCGCATGAATAGATGCGAAAGGAGTGCGAGAGCGCGTGTATGAGTATATGTTTCATTAAAAATGCAAAAATGCAATTCCATCATTGAAACTGTGTTATTCGGCTCTTTTGCCACTGCTGATGCGACTGTGTACCGTGTACCGTGTACTGTGGCTGATGCTGTTGTTGTTGCTGTTTATGGTAGCGGCAACATTTACGAGCACTTCTCTAATACAATCAGCAAATATGTGAATGTGCAACACAAATAAATTGGGTCATTGAAATGAATTTTTCATAGGAGCATGCCATGGCTCTTTTTTGCTGTGCAATCAACGAGAGAAAGAGAAAAAAGAGAATAAAATCCTGATGTGCGTACACTCCGTGTGTGTGTGAATTGAGCGCTGCCAACATTAGTATGTATCACTAGCATTCACAAATACGGAAAAACAAAGGCTGATGGCGGGACACACCAGAGCACATACGCGAAATTCAAATGTTACTCTTTTTTCCTCACTCGCTCTCCACTTCTGGTGTTTGTATTCGCCTTTCATATTTTCGCTCTTTATGACATTTCTATTTTTCATTTGTGTAATTTTATTATACGTGCCATTGTGTTTGTGTTTCTCGTTTTATTCGCCACGAAGAATGGCAAACGGTTGGCATCGAGCAAGTGATCGACTGAGTAAGAGTATGTGAGAGAGAAAGAGAACGAATGAAAGCGAGAAATATTTGAAAATGCAACACACACACACACACATTCATTTTGTTGAATCGACAATCAAGTTCAGTTTGGATTTTCCGAATTTCTATGCTTTATTTGCACGCGTTTTTTTTGCGCTATCCCAAGTGCGCTGTGTTCAATAGGAATTTACGCAGTAAACTGAAGCGTCTGCTCGTGGGAACTCATGCGAAAAATGCTCACAATGAATTTTTTGACAGTGGAGCATTTTTATTAGAGTGCACATATTGAGAGCTACAGTGGATGTCGCGAGAGAGGGAGAGAACGATCCCAAGCCCCCAAAATGAAAATATAGTGCAAAAATCAGAAGCAGCGTTCAATGAATGTGTTGTCATATGCCCGATTGTTTACGTTTTATTAGTCTCATACATGCTTTCGACATATGTGGTTGCACAATGAACATGGGTTTTCATAAAATTCCATTCGCTCGTTGCTGTGCACAATGAAACGTTGTCGCTCCGTTCGTTCAATTTCTTTTTTTTTCGCTCTGTGTCGGTTGAAATTCGTCGCACAATAAAATGGCAAACGTTTTGCCATAAACGAATGAGAGAGTGAAAGAGAATCAACCCTCAAGTACATGTGATCTTTAACTCGAACCAATTCTTTGTGCTCTTTCCATCCCTTTGATTCTCCTTTTTTTCCACCCTTTCTCTCTCTCTCTCTCTCTCTCTCTCTCACTCTTTCAGAGGAATCTCTCACAAAATCGTAGGGAGAGAGAAGAAAAATTCCATATTGATTTCATCAATGTCGATAGCATTTCTCGAAGACGGAAAAGTTCATAAGTGAACTGCGACTTGTGCGATTCATATGCAGAAAATATGGCTGATTTCACTATCGATTAAACAGCGTCTAAATTGTATTTGTGTTTGCAAACACATACGACGAGTTTTTGCTCCCTTTTTTTTGTTTTTGTATAAATGTTTACATTTGATTTGTTCTTTTTGGTTCGACTATTTGCTTTCAATTTTCATACCGTGTATTCGTCGCTTGGTCGATGTTGAAAAATGAATGAAGCACTAAGCAATTGGCAATAGTGATATTTCTCCCTTCTTCTTCTTCTTCAATTTCTTTGTCATTTTGAAAAACATGTGCACAAGTTGCGTGTTCAGTTGTTTTTGCTCGTTCGACATCAATGGCGACGACAACAACAACGGCGACAAAATTCCATTGGAAATAGAGAAAAAAAGAATTGCGAGCAAAATTACATGAAATTGGATACATATATATGGGAAAACCCACAAATTCGTGAAATTATTCGCTAGCATTTGTTTTGAAATCAACGAACTTGTTTGGTTTGGCTTTCAAATGATTTGGTGCTCGTGCATGAATCGCATTGATTTGCGAGCGTGTGAGCTCGCGGGTGCGATAGCATGGTGACGTCAATTGATACACACGTTTGATATTTCGAGTAAAATTTGATATAAAATTGGTTTCATGTTCACTTTTTTTTTATCGAAGTTATAAAACATTGAGTGAAAACAGTGTAATTCAGCGCTTCTTCCAGATTCGAAACGCATTTAAGACATAGAGCGCTGCGCATGCACTAATACCGCAAAGTGACAACTTTTTTTCAGGCTGACATAAAAGCAGACAACAAATTACTGACATTCTTTTTTAGTGCGAAGCTAAAAAAAAATTGCCATTTTGCAAATTTCTCATCAATTTTTTACGGCTGTGAAAACTATAACTTACGAAATGTTTATTCTTTTCTTGTGTCACCAGGATATTGCCGACACTTTCGAGGGTAATTTCAAGGAACAAAATGGACTCAACTCAAATTGGTTGCCAGTTAATAGCGCACAGGTTAGTGGCGATTCGAATTATGGGCGTTGAAACATGGAATCGAAGAATATTGTTATGGATTTTGGTTATCGTTGCTTTTCTTTCACATAGGTTCCTGATCCTCGGCCAGGATCATGCCACAATGACTCACGAACACTGCCCGACGCAACATTGAATTTTATCAAAACACATTCACTCATGGACGAAAATGTGCCGGCATTCTTCGGTCAACCGATTTTAATACGGACAAGCACAATGTAAGCGAAATTTCTTAGCTCAACTTGGTTTTCTATCTGAATTTCCGTGTCACGTTTTGCCAACCAACCCCAAAAAAATGTGATATTCATTGTTTTTTCTTTCTTTTTTTTGCAAATTCCTTTCTTCTAGATACCGATTTACGCAAATTGCTGTTGACCCACAAATAAAAACACCCGGTGGCAAGACCTACGACGTTATATTCATCGGCACTGGTGAGTACACATTCTGTCTGTTTTCAATTTATGCAAATTACAACATTTTCAGCAAATTGCAAGACATAAATCACAGACGCGAATTTTTTTTTCTCTTCTGAATCGTCCCTTTGTACCCAAAGTCCCTCGCAAGGAGTTAAATTGATTACAACAGCAATTTAAATAATGTTCGCAGAAGAAAAAAGTTTCATCAATCGATTATTTTGTTCTTCATTGAGTATATGGATGCTTATACCGCATCGCTCGGCTTGGGCATCTCGGTTTGAAATCTTGAAATCAATTTTAATCGACGCTCATTATTGATTCAAGCGGAATGGTCGTGCATACTAATTTGTTTTTTTCTCAATTTCTCTTCATTCTCAATTCACAACGCAATCGTTAGCGAGAGAGAGAGATAGAGAGAGAGAGAGAGAGAGAGAGAGAGAGAGAGAGAGAGAGAGAATCCACTGATTAAAAACACAAGCAAACGCAATGCGAAAAAGGATTTAGATGACTGAAATTATCCACTTGACGGCTAAAGGAGTGAAAAATGCATTCCTTTCCGACAAAGTTTTTGCATTCGCATTGTTTCGATGGTGGTGTGTGAGTTTTTTTTTCGTTTCTTTTCATATTGCCTTCGTCTCGACAACGTCCTTGCAGACGGAACAGGAAACAGAGACGGAGACAGGAAAGAAAGCACAGAAAAAAAGAAAGAGACAAAAAACATAGACAGGGAATAAGAAAAGAACACACAGAAAGAGAGCTAGAGCGAGAAAGAGAGCGATCCAACTCATCTATATTTCATTTCAACTTTTCCGATTGCAATAAAAATTAAAACTTTGTTCACATGAAGTGCCCCAGCAAACCGCCAACCGCTGCAACCATCAATTTATGCGGTGCAAACAAACGATACGGAGTAATAATGCCTTGCAAGTGCTTTCACCGACAATTCCACTATTAATTGGAAAACTTATTTGCCATACGATTACATGCAATGGCATGGCACAACAACCAGCCACGAGCAAGCGAAAAAAAGAGTATAGCTGCAGCTCAGGAGAGGAAGCAACAACAAGAGAAAGAAAAGATAGCCAAATGAAAAAGAATGGCATTCTTTTCCGTATGCGCACACAAACGATTTTCTTGATTCTCATTTCGAATTATTCTGCATTTTCGGAGCCGGACTTTAATTCCATTATCATGAGCTCTCTGAAAATTGAATTGCTGCTGTTGCTCCGGCTGGCTTCGTTGGCTCGTAAAGTACTTTCAAAAACCGATTCGCTCAACTAAAGCAGCAACAAAGCGAATAATTTTATGCACAAAATAATAATCACAATTATTTTGCCACATGCATACAAAATAATAATACACGATGGCCATAGAGACTGGCACAAACCTAATATTTCGGACAAAGACGCTGTGTGTGTGTGTGTGTGTGTGTGTGTGTGTGTGTGTGTGTGTGTGTGGATACAAAAAGACAAGAATGGCTTTTCTCTCTCGGTCGAAGAACTTCAATTTCAAATTAAGTTGGGAAATTTGTTCAGCCACAGCAAATAAATCAGTAGCCGTCAAAGTACTGCAATGCATTTCTAAAACACACTCTCAAGACGCCCTTGTACTTGATAGTATGTATGCGATACGGAGCACATAGTATTACCGTTATGTCATTTGCTCGAATACCGAAGTGAACATGGCTGAAAAGCCGTTTCGCCTGCATACATAAATTTCGAAGTGAAAAAAATTGTTCAAATTGTTTGTAGAGACTATCGGATTTTGGAGAGTAAGTCATCTGGAGCTTGATGCAAGTAAAGCGATTTTAATTAGAATGGTTATTGGTGCGTGAATGGCGAGACGGGGACCAATAAACTTAATTGGTTCGACAATTGCCTAAAAAAATGGTGTGTTTACACATTTTCGCAGTAATTCAAGAATTTCAAGTCACAGAGCAACTTTATTCACGCTCAACCCAAATGTACTTCGTTTGCTTTTATAATAATCAAGTCATTTGGCATATCGCTTTCGGTTTTTTTCGCAGTACTACGTGCTTTTTTCGCATGCAAAAATTACTGATGATGGCATTGAGACAGACAGACAGACAGACACACGAGATCTGGCAAACGAGCGAGAGATGGCTGGAGCTGAGCTCGTTCATTTTATCGATTAAGTGGTGTGTACGTCAATTAATTGTTGTTGCAGTGTGAAAATAAAATGAATGAACGAAACAAAAACGGACTAAAATACAAAATAATGATGCCTTAAGTCAGTTGCTTTCGTCTGGTTTTGGCTGTGTTTGTGTGTATATCGCAAGCGTTTGAAACCTTTCTAATTATTTTTACTGCAGTTTGTGTCTTCATTTATTTGGATGTCACATCTCGCATCGTGTCGTTTCTGTTGCTTTCGTTAAGCTTGTCGGAGGCGGATGGTTGTCAGTGGAATTTGTTTTTATTTTGTTGCATTTTGTAAGGAAGTCAGAGGGAAAAAAGTAGCTGGAATGAAATGGAATGATCTCGGTTTCGTTCATTCGCACACCACCATCTCATCGTTTGCTGTCTTTATGCTGCGCTTCTCTTCACTTTGCGCTCATTATCTATAAAGATTCATTATCTCCGAAGCACTTTTGTGTGTGACCAGATCGCAAGCTGTGCTTCGAATTCGTTAAGCAGATCGTAGCCAATGTGGTACTGAATGGTGTTACTACTTCGTTTTTTGCCTCTCTCTCTCTCTCGCTCTGTTCACCACCACTCGAGCCAAGTGAAACTGTAGTTTGGCAGGCGTTGCAACGTCTGCAAAACAACGACACATCGTAGTCATCGTCATCGTCGTCGTCGTTTTTCCCGTTTTACATTTTCCTCTCATTTTCTACTTTAATTTTCTCGTCACCATTCAAATTTTCCGTTTTATGCCATCGTTTTGCCACACAGCGCAGCCATTCTTTAGCATTCTTGCTTCTATTCCGACGAAAAGATGATTGCCATGCATTTAAAATCGCGGTCGATTTTAAATTGTCATCATCATTAACAACAAATGTTTACGTCGTTGGCGGTTGAAATCGCACAGTATTTCTTCGATTTCGTCTTTAAATAAGTGTGTGCGCGCTGAGAATCCAGGGCCATTTTCTCTCTTGCTTCCCTTCGGTTTTTCGCTTTTTCTATCTCCTCCGTGCTATCTCTATGTCGTTTACTCTCTTTCTTCTCTCTTTATCGGCAACAAGGAAAAACGCCAGCTTAATTGGTGTGCGCTTTCCGAATGAGCGCCAGTTACAGCATCAGTTTATGACAGGAATATAATTAAATGGGGGTTTCACTTGTAACGCTTAAAAGTGCTCATTTATTCTGGGGCATTAGGTATCAAATGTGACTGGTGCACAAAAACAAACTCTTTTCACATCACGATTAGCACATGAGCCACCACCACCAACCACCACCATTGCATTGATGGTATTTTGACGGGATGATTGCTGTTGAGTTTTTTTTTCTAGCACAACTCTGCTATTGATATGTTTCAATTACATTGTCGCTCATTCGTGCGAAAACTGATATACATTTTGCCAACGCTGTCCCAGTTTGATTCATATCAACTATGGATTGTATTACATTTGAATATTCCGAGTTGTCACTCATTTCAGTCAGAGCATCCATTAATCGCGCTTATCACAACAAATAGATCTAATGCGATTTCAAGCCAACGATATTCGATACTCGTTCACCTCATTTCGAAAGTTTCGAATCGGAACGCGAACGGAATCGTTTTTCGCCGCACTGAATCAGTGCCGTTGATTATTTTCATCAGCGTGATGACCGTACATTTTTTTACTCTATCGCAAGCATTTGATGAAATTGGACATTGTGAGCTACCTGTGAGCAACTTTTTTGGTTTCATTGGTCTGGGCCGTAACAACACAATGGATAAGCACTTTATATTTCGAACATCAAACAACTTTTAATTGGAGCCAAAGAATGGTTATTGCGGTGCTTCAAACCGAAAAGTGTAATTTTCTCAAATTCTTTTCATGATTAATGATGGCAGTTCTCTGCCTCCCACCTCCTTCAAAACCAAAAATTATTTTCTAATTCAGTGTTTTTCGCGTACTCGCCCAACGCAACTGAAACGCGGATTTTATTCATTGGAGCTAGTTTGTTAGTACATTTTTTTCTTTTCATATTTCTGTCTTTTGCTATTGTTTTTCTTCTTGTTGTCTTGTTTTCCCATCATTTGCACCATCCCCAAATTGTGCGCTTCCTTTTCAACATCTTGAATACAAGTACATTCAAGAGTTGCAATTTTCTTTTCTTTCATTTTTATTTGATGCAATCCACGCTCTCGTCTATGCAGCTCTTCTGCGCTTTTGCTTCGCTGTGTTTTTTCTCTCTCCCTCTCTCCGTCTTTTTCGCGCGCGTACGATTCCCTTTTATTTTTTTTAAATTTCGTTACGATTGTTCTATTTTATGCACAACATTCGCATTATTATTATTCTTGGCGTTTCATTTGTTTCGCTTGTTTCGCTGCAAGCGTAATTAGTTTAATAATTGGATTTAATGGTTGCGAATGTGAATGAAAAGTTAGTAATTATAAATAAAAAGGGTGGTTTTTTTCAGTCTCTCTCTCTCTCTCTCTCTCTCTCTCTGTCCCTCTCTGAGCAGCTTCGCTTCTTCATTACGTTCTCCCTCTCTCTTGAGGAAATGCGCATATGCACACATTGAATGCGAATTAGTAACAAGAGAAAGAAAAAATGATGACGTTTTTTTCGGTCTTAATTACGTATTACGTGATTTTTATTGTTTCTGTTTGTTATTTTTTTTTCTCTATCTCTGTTTCATGGGATTGATCAGGAAGTCGTAGAGTGGTTGAGAGAGAGAGAAAGCGTCTTCACTCGAAATAATTAAAATGATTTCAAGCCTCATTATTACGCTACATTTTTTCAAACACTGATTTTCCTCCAAATTTTATTGGCGAACGAAAAATAAAGATACCAAACGACCATTTTCACTTAATATTCTACTTAAATTCAAATCCTTTTTTTCAATCGACGCACACAAAATCGTTTTTTGCTCATTATTATATTCCAGCGACTTCAGGGATAATAGATTTAACAATCCATTTTCCAGACCGATTTTTTTGTTTTCAACGGAACGAAAAATGATGCGTTGGACAAAAACTCGGAGATGCGACATAATTTTCACGGTAAAATTCATTCAGCTTCTTCGAAATGGTTTTCTTCTCATCTTACCTTTGCCGTCATATGTACGATTGTACGTACACCTTTTAACGATGCGAAAGTGAGGCGAAAAAAGAGAAAGAAAGGTAGAGAGAGAGATAGGTGGAGAGTTCTTGATGACGGATTGACAAAATGATAAATTGATTTATGGCAAAGAGTGCGAATTACCTCCTGTGACTGAATACGAATTTTGCGCTCTGGGATTTGTTTTTTTTTCTTTCCGCTGCTGTTGCACGAATATCAAAAATACATCAAACACGCTATCGTAAGCAAACAAACGCGGGTGCGCGCACGCGAGATAAAAAAAACTAAGCATTCAAAAGAATGCCAATTAATAAAGCACTTGCTGTCGTTGCCAATATTCACTCATACACACAGTCGTTTGTGTGCGGCGAAAGTGCGAAGCCACCATCGTATCTCAATCATCTAACGGGACAAGGAACGAGAGATAGAATAAAGTGCTGTTGCGATGTGATTTCGTTGTCTGCAATTCTTTTACCCACTCACACCATCATCCGTTTCAATTTCATTCGCCTGACATTTTGCTATGAATCTAACTTGAATTTCTCATTTGTTTCTCATGTTTTTTTTTTCGCTTCCTTTTTTTGCAGATCATGGAAAAATTATCAAAGCCGTTAATGCTGAGTCGGCCGATTCGAACAAAAAAGTCAACTCGGTGGTAATCGAAGAATTGGACGTTTTGCCAACCAATGAACCGATACGAAACCTGGAAATTATTCGAACCACACAATATGGTGAGTATGAAAAAAATGGCGGAGATGGTGACGACGACGATGGTGCGAGCACCAGTGGGCGCCATTTCAGTTGATTTGAAGTACACCAACGGAAAAAAACACACACACAACACCCAACCGACACCTGCTCAAAGTCATTTTTAATCGAATAAAAGCCTCAATCGCTAGATTGGAAATGCCATTGTGAGCGAGATTGGAAGAGAAAGAGTCGGAGAGTCCATTGCAAGCACATTGCGATTGACATTTTTGCTGGGCATATAAAATTCAGCCGATCGATTTTTTAATTAAAAATCGGGAGAATGCATGCGGTTGCACATTTTTTCCTCACTTTATTTCCATTCGGTTGACGCGAAAAAAAAAACCATCCGATTGGTGGTTGATGCTTGACTAATAATTTTTTTCATTTCATTCGTCAATCCATACGATGCCAAAATGTGGAAATTGTCAACATGAAGAATTCATGAAAATAGTACATTACACCGAAGAAAAACAGAATTCCATCTCAAATATTCCACATGTCATTGATTATTTATGACAAAGACACACTCAAACACACACATACACACGTGTGTGTGTTGTTGCTATTCAAATGGCCTGAATACCATCAGTGCATTCGAGTCAGTTCAAGTGAAGCTTTCAATACAAGCAGTAAATATTGACTCATTTCTATTGACATCAAAGCGCCGCTTCATTCATCGCCAGATGGAGAAAAGTTAAGAGATAGAGAGCGTGAGTTGAGAACATGAACTCCGGTAAAAATATCAAAGAAAAGAACTTATACGCGATAAATCATTCATGTGATCGGTGGAGGTGTTGGTATTATTGCACCGAAGAAGGAAAAAATACAAGCTTCTGTGCATATTTTCTATGCAAGTAATTGATTCATCGACACACGAGAAAAATCACGTGAATACTGCGCATACTTTGAACATGTTTAGCAACACCATTTGAAATAGCGAACGAGCGAGAGCAGGAGGGAGAGAAAGAGGAGAAAGAAAAAAATATAAATCACTGCATTCAATACATCCAAGTAAAAATGTGCCATTGAAATGTGGGTGTCATCAGTACATGTAAAAAATGTCGCTCCGTCGAAATATTTCACACTACACCATCCCTTTTTTCTCTCTATCCCTTTACCTACCTTTGTCATGGAATCAATGATCTCTGTGCACCCATACTCAGCGATGCACGTTACCAGAATTTTGGCTGGTACACAGCACATTTCACCAGTTGCGACTTCGGTCATATATTCGTTGATGCGAGTATAGTGTGAGTACGACGTGTGTACATAAGGCGCGAACTAAGACGACAATTCACTTCGCAAGAATTCGACCGCTTCGCGCACACGTTGTAACTGGTAAACCGTACACACGAGCCACAGTTTGCTTTGATTCGCATGACCGAAGTAGCAAATGGTGAAATGTGCTGTATACCAGCCGATCAACTGGTGACGTGCGTCGCTGAGTAGTGAGGCGTATATTTAAACGAAACGTGGCATTTTTCTGTAGCTGCACACATACGGTTGATGTTCGCTTCGTTATTGCATTCATTCGATTGGTATTCAAAGATGCCATCGAATGGCACTATGGAAGTGAATCTCGAGAATAAAATACGAAGGAATACTACATAAAATTAAAAATATGAAAAATGACGTGCATTCCTCACTTGCAGCAATTGCTTGCAAAACCATCGATGCTAACGTATTTTCATGAAAAATCTCCATTTTGCAACTCGTTTCACAAATGGCACCAAGTTCTCTCTGTGTGTGTTTTTTTTCGTGTTCTGCGCCGAAACTTGTCTGAGAATTCAGTTCAAGCGGGTAGAATCGTTTTTCAAACATTACTGCTCTCCTTGCAAACGCTGTGAACAACATAGACAATTACCAAAGTCACGACAAATTACCGTGTCTACACACTGCGAATTGTATTTGAATGGTTTTTGAATTGCGTTTACGGCTGCAATACAACCGGATTCTTTTTTTCTCAACTGGTTTCGCCAAAAGTTTACCTGACGAATAATTTTCCTCTGTTTGCTCGACATGGTGGAATTTTGTTCTTTTTTTTTTGGTTCTTCTGTCTTTTCTTCGCTGCGTTCACATTAGCATTCAGAGTAAAATTTAAATTGGATGAGACTGGAAATGAACTGTCGTTTTTTTTGTTCACATGCACAGCGGGATAATGCGTCGAAAAGTTTTGCCATACAGAACCGAACAGCAACTTGAACTCGATTCTTCATTATTTATTTAGAACAATGAAACATTAAATATTGAATTTGTTGCTTCTGCCGCTGTTGCTTCATTACGAATGTACGGCAATGGCAGAGAAAATCTCAACGTTGAATCGAATTATACACACCGGATTAAATTACGGATGGAAAATTCGTTTGATATTATCTTTTGTGTATGAGTGTGTGTGTGTGTTTCCTGAGCCCTCATTTTCATTTTCTTTCACTCGCTTGCATTTCACGGGAAATCGGTTTATTCGGGACAATTTTCTGCGGCCCTTGGGGTGTGTGCGGATTTCCACGCTTTTACGTGCTGGTTCTATCCAAATAGAATGAAAGATTTATTCACGTGTTTTTCATCTCATTCAATGCCCACACACATACGGCGAAACAAAAGCGACAAGCGAAAAATATTCACAAAATTTCTGGATTTATTTGCAGAGCAACCAAAGGATGGCAACTATGATGATGGCAGATTAATCATTGTGACGGATAGCCAAGTGATGGCCATCAAACTACATCGCTGCAACAGCGAAAAGATAACGAGCTGCAGTGAATGTTTGGCACTGCAAGATCCATACTGTGCATGGGATCGACTGGCTGGCAAATGTCGTTCGCATGGTGCACCACGTTGGCATGAGGAGACGCATTTCTATCAAAATGTTGCGACTGGACTGCATGCCGCTTGCCCGTCTGGCAAGATGTCATCGAAAGATGCAAATGCCAATGAAATCAAAGGTTATCGCAGTGATATGGGCGGATTGCTGGACTCGCATCGTTCGATGAAAGATTCCAGCGGTGAAGTGATCAATATTATGCAAGAGAAAAATTTCGATGGCACTGGCAATGGGAATGGGCCACAAATTGCCGACATTGTAACCGCTCAATATTCCGTTGAAACGGTTGTTATGGCCGTATTGGCCGGCGGCATTTTTGCACTGCTCGTTGGATTCATCACCGGTTACTTCTGCGGCCGACGATGCCACAAAGACGAAGATGATAATCTACCCTATCCAGACACCGAATACGAATACTTTGAACAACGCCAAAATATCAATCGCATTCAAGCCGAACCGAAATTATTGCCACAAGTTGAAGAGGTCACGTATGCGGAACCGGTGTTGCTGCAGCCAGCACCAAGCCAGAATAAAATCCATTCACCGAAGAATACATTACGAAAACCACCACCACCAATGCATCATCATGGAGGCGGCCCCAACTCCGAATCACTATTTCAATTCCAACCAGATGGATATAATACACGCGATACGTACCGCGGCCGAGACAATTTCGGTACACTAAGATCGCATCAGGTGAGTGAAATAAGGAGAGACTTTATTGATAGATTTGGTCGGAGATTACTATGGCAAAGGCACCCAAGCTCATTGAAGCTTCTTATCCAAAAATGTGCTAACTTTTTCAATTGATTTTCACAGACTCTGCAAGGCGATAACTACCGACGTGGCGACGGATTCTCAACAACACGAAGCGTTAAGAAAGTAAGGATTGCATTTTGATTTTCTTGTCTGTATAAAGTTGAACGAAACGAAAATTAGCGAAAGACAGTTTAGAATATGTATGCGAAAGCCTTTCGTTTTTGATGCAGGACTAACTCGCCACAACACCAAACTTAGCTCTTAGACATTTTTGTTGCAGATTTCAAATAGAAACTCCGGTAGTGTTTCATACACAATGTTTTTTTTTTTGCGTTTTAGTTAATTTAGTGCTTTATTCCCCTGCAACTGTTCCAACTGTGTGCGTCTATTTTCATTTTCTACACTGTTTTTTCTTTCATTTCCGTTGACAAAAACAAAAATCCGTATTTTATTTTGCGTTTTCTATTTTTCTAAACATTTTGGTTTATGATTTTTCTCTTCTCTTCCTTTCTTCTTCCACCATTTAGGTATATCTTTGAGACGCGAGTGGGGCGGCTGACACTAGTCAGGGATTAATTAATCAAAATATGGTAATTATATTTTGAACAATGACAAAAAACAACACAATCAGAAATCGAATAACTAAGAAATTCGATTGTGATTGAATGAACAACCAAGCAAAGCAAGAAAAAACCCAGAATATTGGCAAAATGTGTTTCTACATGTGCTTCTGTACAAAAAAAAAAACCAAGACAAAAACATTTTGAAATAAATTTTCCCCTTTTTAATAGCTATATTCATTTTTTGGTTTTTCAAATTCGTATAATTTTTCGGTGTTGGAATCAAGAAAAAAAAACAGCTCTTACAAATTCATTCGCGAAATCTTATGTTCTTTTGTTATCAATTGAATTATTTATACCACTTCAGTTAACTTTTCATTGATTGTTATGATTTTCGGTAAAAGAAATTTACTTCCCCAAATTTTTTTTCTTTGTTTTCTCTTGATTTATTTCTACGTTCAAGCATTTTGAATCCTTTCATTGGAAGACAAGAAAAAAGTTCGAAGAAAAGTTTTGTTTCATTCGAAGAAAAATCAAGATAAACGAATGAAAAGAAATTCTCGGAGAGAAAAACGAGTTATCGGCCGCCAAACTCAAGAAAAAAGACAGAGAAATTCGAGTGTGGGCTGAATCAAGGTTGCTCAACCTTATCACGCCTTACTCGAACAAGCAAGCCTATAGCTTTGTCTAGAGCATATATTTTTTTATCTTAATCCCTTCACTCTTTTTTCCGTTTCATTTCATTTGAATCTGTTTTAATTTCGTATAGAAATTGTACCTTTTGTGTATTTCATTATGTTTGGAATTAACAAAAACAACAACAACAACAACAAAATACCCACTCATACATAAAACACATTTCAAGGAAACACAACGCGTAATGCACAACAACATAGATTGAATAGTCACGCGTGTCGAAGAGAGCAAAAAAAAAATAGAAATAAAAACACTGCTTACACAAATCGAATTCAATTGAAATCTGAATAATCATAAATTGCTTGACTGTAAATTTACTGATTTCATTTTCGGTTTGTTTGACTCGTCTCGTTTTTTTTTCTTTTGGTACAACAATCATAATTAAAATTTGCTGTGTATATTTTTTACTTCTTCTCTGTGTGTTTGAGAATTTTTGTTTGGATTTTTCTTTGATTTGTTTTTTTTCTTCGTTTTCGTCTTCTGTTATTTTATTTGTGAAATGTGATCGTAATCTTTTCATTTATGTACACTGTTACTGCTGTTTTGTTTCATTTCGACCATTTTTTTTTCTTTATTCCACTTCATTTCAAGTTTCTTTTGTCCTGTGTGTTTCTGTGTGTTCTTTTCTGTTCGTATTTTATATGACAAAAAAAAATAAATCCAAAGCATAAAATCACCTACCGAAATTCGTACGATTCATGTAAAACCAAACAATTATAATTTTTCGCGTAAATAGGGTTTAAACACAAACACACGAAACAGAAGTCTTGGTCGAATGAGACGACAGCCGCCCCGGCATGGTATTGGTACGTATTCAAAATTCGCAAATTTTAATTAAAACAAGACAACAACAAAACACACACATTTCTATCGTCAAACCGAACAAAACTCACATCAACCGAAAATAAATACCTTTCCATTGGCATTAAGACATGCGATCAATTTCACAAGAAATAAACCTCAAACGAAAAAAAAGAGAATCAAACGATGAACATCCAATTCTTATCAGTCCCATTCATCCGCTCTGTTCACTTCACAAACTTTCTCAATCAAAATCATCAAAACATTTTGCAAAAATTGAGTTTCGTTAAACTTCCGTGCACATTATCGTTGCTTGTTTCGTTTCTATTTTGGTTTTGTTCACAAGTTCAAGTTCATTGTTCGACGTTGAAAAAAGTCGCACTCTCAATCTATCCACTCCCTCTCACCTTTCGTCTATCTCTCTCTCTCTCTGTTTTTTTTCTTCTTCATTTCGTAAGTAAAGTCGAATCCAAAACTTATCGAAAGTGTTTGCGTTTCAAAAAACCAATAAAAGTAAAATATTTGTAACCAAACCAAATTTATTAACCACCACCACAACCACTGCCATCACCTACTACTCTACTCAACTTTCACTTTATAACCACATTTCACATTCCAAACATTTTGATTTTCAGTTGATTTCTGCACATGAACTTTCCTACTTTTTTACGCATGTTCTATGGTAAATCATATAAAATAACAATTTTTCAACCAATCGGATCGAAATTTGATGAGTATATTTCGGAAGTGACTAAAAAGTCGACAAAATTTTAAAACAAAAAAATGACATTCGAAAAAAATGGATGAACAAAATTATTTAACAAAATTCTATCATTTGAATGTATTTTTAAATTTGTTTATCGCTATGCCTTGCCATATCATATCATACATAACATTTGATGTGCTGTACTTTTGCTTTAATCCTGCTCTTCATGCCTATGTCTCATCAGCTTTTATTCTCATTTTTGAATGTTTTTACTCTTTCAAACACGGTTTATCTGTTAATCATAAAGTTTATGACATAAACATGATTCTTAAACTTGAATATTAATATCAAATCGAATCCATTTAAAACTGTTGCCAGCAAAATGATCTAATTTTTTTTTCTCCCTCCAAAATGGCCATTTACAGTAAATCAACATCGTTCCGACAGTCCACATAATTCGAGCTCTGGTTCATCGCCATCGATGTCACACAGTAGCTCATCACCAGCACCACCATCCAGTCCCAGTCCACAAGAAAGTCCCAAAAACTGCAGCTACATCTATCGAGATTGATTGTCCGCTACTTCAAAGTCAATGTCAATGTTACCATTACGACGATCCGATCCGAATCTTCCATCAACATCAACCGCTGCCATCGAACGTGAGCACAACATCTACGCATCACCGTATAATCCAGACAACAGCAACCAACAATCAGCCCAACAGCACAGCAACCGTAAAAAGCATATTCATCGTCGTCATCGCAAACATGAAAACGCACAACAACAACAGCAACCGCCACAGTATCATCATCAAATGGACACCGCATCAATGCAATATCCGGATGACGACGATTTGTTCTTAAGCTCGGGTACAATTGCATCCAATTTGTTAACATCGTTGAAGCAACCATCCAAAATGACATTCAATTGGTCGCGTCAATTCAATGAAACGCTAGCCACCATCAGTGGTTTGCTACAGCGAAACTTCCAAGAAAATCCCTATCCCGGTTGCAATGTTTCCGAAGCATCTGCATCTACGGCAACATTGGGTAGTTCCACCGCCATTGATTCAACGGCTAAATGCCAAACGGACAAATGGCAAAAACGGCGTCGCAACAGTCTAACTGGCGATCCAAGGGAACTAGACATGCTTGTACTGGAACCCGTTAACGGTGATGACAGTGATGGCTTTTAAAAACTTGAAAAAAACGGTTCGATTCGTCGGTTTTGTCACACAGTTCTTCTTCTACTCTTCAATTGTCTCTATCTTTCTCTATATCTGCATCACTACACACACTCACACGAACAGAAATCTATTTACTCTCCCACAAAATCTAGAAATCATGACTTTACAACAAAAATAAAGTATTGATTTGTATTTTGAAATGAAAGCAAAGCGTAGGAAAAGCTAAACAAAAAAAATGACAATTAATCATTAAAATGAAAATGAAAATTTAACAAAACGTATTGCAATAGAGTTATTGGTAGTTTTGTATTAAACAGTTTGATTATGTAGAGATATAGACAGCATGATGAAAAAAAAAATGATTGTGAAGCTATGGAAATGAAACGGTTCGAATTACAAGAATGATGAGAGGTGCAAAAATTGAACATTTTGAACGTTTTCCAAATTGAAATAGGTAGAGCTAAGACAGCCTGATCATAGAAAGCTAAGACAGTCTTCAGACTCATCGAAATGGTATAGTTTCCATCACAAAATGGTATAATTTCCATCTACCTTTTCGTTTTAAACATCTCTATCCCAAGCGAAACAGAAAGATGAGATTCTATCGTGATGATGAATTTCATCGCGGACTAGCGGCGAGCGCGTGTGTGTTAAACATAGTATGCTATTCACGCACACCGATACATGACTGTATGCAAGCGCTATGGAGCTACCGTTTACTATGTTTAACACACACGCGCTCGCCGCTAGTCCACGATGAAATTCATTGTCTTAACTACCGTCTTTTGTCTCCCAATCGGCCGTCTTTCATGACTGCGCTTCGCAATCAGCCTGTAAAAAGCTTCTGGAACGAAAAGAAAGTAAACAATATTTATCAAGAATAAAAAGCAAAAAAAAAATCTAGTTTAGCACTTCATTTTCAAACAAAAATAAAACTATAAATTTATTGTAGTATAGAAGCGGGATTGTGCACCCCATACCCATTTGCATAATCCTCGTGGAATTTTTTTCGATTTGAATTCATTTCCGAATCTGGTTGGAACGGGATTTTGAACGGGGTTTGCACCGCGTTGTGCACCGCGTGAAAATCCCATTCTCATTCAGACCGAATGGCACACATTCACACACGGAAATAATAAACATATAAAAGTAATAATAAAATAATATCCAGTGCTTACACATATTTATAGATGCTCTAGTTGAAGAAATAAAACTATTGTATATTTAAAAAGAAAACGTTATCGAGACATACACACACACACACACACACAAACAAAAAGCATTTTATATTAGATAGAATTCCGTTGCAGTGTGGTGGCATACACACACATCAAGAAGAAGAATGACAAAGAAGAAGAAGAAAAACATTAAAATCACAAACACTCACACACAAAATGGTGACAAAAGAAGAAAAACACAAATCAAAGTATACGAAGAACATCCCCCGATTCCATCACGGAATGGTAACATATATAAATATTTAAACACAAAAACAATTTATTATTTTCAATGAAACATCTTGAAAAGTTCACAACACCGTAGGGACTGTTTTTCCAATAACAACAACAACCACATACAGAAAATATGAAAACAATTGGCTATATCATTTTTGGTAGTGGAACAATTTCTATGTCGAATAAACACAGTGACTTTGAAGCGTGGCACAAAGCAATTTCGATGGAAATGATCAAATTAAATTTAGAAAGAAAAACAAAACTTTGTTAGTTTTCACAAACACATTCAAAATCCAAAAATGGCATTCAAAATATTCATAGAGTTACGTAGTCATATAATTTAAAAAAAAAAAAAAGAAGAAAACAAACAATACAAATTAAACAATTAGAACTCGTTTCAATCGAGCAATTTGCACGTATTGGCTAACAAAATATAGACAGACTAGTGGGCTAGCCGCCCAAAAAATATCCACTAGAGACATTCAATTAAATTTTCATAATCAAAAACCAATTTTGAATCATTTTTGTAAGTGGTCTCGCTCTTTCTGCTTACCGCAGCAGCAGCAGTGCCAGTAGCAGCAAAACACAAGCACAATGCTATCGGCATATTGCTGTGCATTCTGCACGCATTCGAATGCAAATAATTCAGTGCTGTGCAATTGCACACCAATTTCCAAATGCTATTCGCAATTTGATTGAAACGTATCGAAATTCTATTATTTGATTATATTATCGTTTGGCTCTTGTAGACGATATTCTCCGCTCTGTGTGGAGGAAACATGTTAACAGATTGTTTTTCTCGTTTTTAACGCAACCAAACACATTTTCTCAGCATGTAATCGAGAGTTTTTCCCCCCATATTGTATAGTCATACTATGTATTTTATAGATACTTTTAGGTTCTCTTTTTTGTACGCCCAATGGTTTTTTTTCATGGTAATTTTAGTTTGTATCGTTTTATTTGTGCGCAATCAGACTTGACAATTTGAATGATGAAAAAAAAATTGAATAAAAGAAAAACAATTGCTTTTCGAGTAGAAACTAAGAAAGTGTGAATCATGACCACAAAATGACTGAATGAAAGAGACATTTTTGTTTTTGAAACGAACGTTTTCCAATGAAGAAAAAAGAAGTAAACATTAATCGAAATGTGGCCAATGATTTGAATGAATTCCAATGAATGAGATAAGAAAAGCCCGAATAGGGTCGGAAAATCTATATATAGGTATAATATTGTATATGATATGGCTCGGGCTTGTTTAACGTTTTTATTTGTTTTTGACATCTATTATTTTGTCTCTCTGGCAGATTCCAATTGATTTTTCTTCAGTTTTTTTTTAGATGAAAATGAAATTGTTTGCGAAACGAAAAAAAAAATTGAAGTAAAAACACTAATAATAATGAAACAAAAGAAAATAGTACCTAGATCTAGTTGATAAGCAGGCGAAATGTTGCATTTTATGCGAAATACAAACCTACAACTATGTATTAATCATAAAAGAAAAATGGCATTTATTAGTTTTAACTCAAATAAGAGAGATGAGGAAAAAGAAGAAAAAATAATTGAATAACTGGAAATTCACATGTAAAAGTGTATATATACATATTTTCCGCTGGCCAATTTCATTTCATTGTTTTATACCGTATTATATTCCGTTTTTTTATTTGTTGTTATTTTATAATTACCAATTTATTTTTTATATAGAAAAAACCAAAGAGTTTCTTTTTTTGTGTTCCAATTTATCATTTTTGTATTTTGAAATGATTTCACGAATTTGTATTTTATTTTCAGGCATTCAATTTGTACAAAACCGATTTTCTTATGTTTCAATTAAGGCATTCATTATAGATTAAACTTAGTTTTCGTTTGAATCTTTTAAATTTCCACAAAAAAAAGTACTATGTAATTCTAAATAATCTCATTACTAAGCATGGACATTTTGCGCGTAGATGCAAAACAAAAAAGTGTATGACAGTAATAAAAAAAACACATTAAATTTAATACAAAAAAAAATTAATTATTAAAATGCAACTGTAACTAACTAAAAAAGAAATAAGATGAGTTGAAAATTATTGTATTTGATTGTGGCCAGCAAGGTATATAGCTGTGCAGCCGGAACATTGTATGCAAGGACGCAGGTATTCACATAGCTGTCGAAAGCAAAGAATATCGCAGTTTTTTTTTTCTACTGTTGCAACATTAATTAAACATACGTAATGTGTCGTTGTTAACGACCGCTGAGTTTTTGGTCATTTGAACAGTGTAAAAAAAATTGTTCTTAATTTTCTTGTTTGTTATGGGAAATGGACAAAATGTTAAAAGAAAAAGTGGCAACTGGCTTCACATTGATTTTTCTAAAACCAAAACAAATAGATGTTCCGAAAAAAAACCCAAAAAGATGTTCCAAAAATGCAAAAAAGTTCAAAAGAAGAAAGAAGTATTTCCAAGTGTTGACCATTCAAACCAATGTTTTGTTTGGACTTTTAGCCATTTTTACTCAATAAGCCCAAACACGAACACAACCACAATGGAAGTAATTTACATACAAAAATCGAAGTTTACACACAAACAGATTACCGCCAACATTTTGTATTCATTCAGTGCAAAATCTTGGAACAACAACAACAACGTATTTATCATAAAACATCAAATAAACACACACACAAAATGAACGCATATTAATAACACGTAATGAAGATGAAAAAGGTAAAGAAAAAATAAACTAAAAAATCATATTATAAATATTCAAGTGCTTCTTAAATTATATTCTACATAAAGAGATACAAGAAAGAAAGGAAAAAAACACTTATATATTACATTTCAAGGTAAAAAATGATGAAAATGCAAGAAAAAAAAACCAAAAAACCACACAAATGAAATGTAATTTAAAAATAAAAGAGAAAAATGTGGAACCATATGAACAAAATTCAACATTCAACACACCATTTTTGACGTTATTTTTACGAATGCATTATAGATTTCATATAACGAAAACCAAATAACACACACATACATTGAAGTTACTGCGCAAAAAATATTATTATATATGCATTAAACAATAGATCGGTTTGTTTGAAGTTTTCCGAAATTATATCGTAATTATATTTGGTATAAAAAAATACCAAACTTAAGAGACAAAAAAAATGATACGAAAACTACCGTTGAAAGCAACAGTGTTATCATACATTCAATTGACACAATCGCCTTCGTCGATAGAGACGATTCGGTCACGAATATTTATTCTCTGGGCATTTTTTTTTGTTTTGAATTAAGCGTTTTAGTGTCGCTTTGCGACTTCTATTTCGCTTGAATAACCAAATTTCCTGGAATTCAGTCATCCAAAATGTATTTTACCTTTCTGCACAAACATCGAATCTCATGCATTTACTCTTTGCCAATAGAAACGACACATTTCGTCGAGAATTATTTTAACAACATGGTTCAACTGGTTTTTACACTGTCAATACAACTACAATTGATTGCTTTCGAATATTTAACAACGGTTCGTTGTCACAAAATACATCTAACTCTCTGCTAAGACTGATGATATGATTTTTTTTTCATCAATTCGATTCAATTTTGTCACAGAATGGTTGAGGAAACTCACAACAATTTTTTTTCTGTTCGATTTTGAATCTCGATTTTATCACTTTGATATTTTACAATAAGAAAAAGAACAATCATAGAATTCCATTCACTGTCGATTTTCAATACCGGTGTCTCAACCGAGTCTTTTCAAATTTTACTCAAACTTATTCACTCTATCTCAATTTTTATCTAAAGTTCCCCAAATCATCGACATTTATTTGACCGATTTTCTTCACACTATCACCTACCGCAAATAATAATTTTCCTTTCACAAACACACTCACAAATCGAAAAGAGCAAATGCGATTTTAACATTCGTTAATCAAAAGAGGACATTCTACCAACATTTGTAAAAACAAAAAGAAAAAAAAAAAGTAACAATGATTAAAATAATTCGCAAGACAAACAAAAAACAAATGAATGACAGGCACTCAGAAAGGGCGACGATGAGGTGTTTGAATAGAAGATAATTAATTTTATTGACTAAACAAAAAGTAAAAATTATATATGACATTATGAATGAATTAGATAAAAACTCTTTGTAGATATTAGGAAGATTAAGAATTTGTTATTTGAAAAGTAAAAACTGATGGCAGCAAATGAAAAACAAAACAAAAATGAAAGTAATCTGTAGCTACCTTCAAGCAAAGCAAAAATCACTCGAAATGCGAGAAGAGAAATTAAAGAAAAAACGTAGACTAATGTAATCGAAAAAAAAACGTTTTTGGATGAATTCCTTTCACACACAAAAAAAAGAGATGAAACAATGACAGCATTATAATATGACGTAGAGTTTATTTCATTTACATAAAATTATTAATTACCACATTTAACAAAAAAAAAAAAACAACAACAGATCGTAGGATACATTATTTCAAATTTAAAGATTTCAAACAAAATATGAAAAATAAATGAAAAATTTTCCAAATAAAATCGGTCATCGGGTGTTTGCTTTTTTCTTTCATTCTATCCCTCCCTCCCAAATCATCTTTCAATTCCAGTCATTTTTCTCTCTTCAACTGAAAGATGATGGAGAGTCTTATTCACTTCTGAACGCCGAAATAAAGGTTTGTTGTCATCGTTGCTGGAATACGACTAGCGGTACATCACTAATGTGAATCATCGCAAACACACAGTTCTACACACAGATGCAGTCGGTGGTTGTTATTATTATCAACCGCACACAGTCGCATTTAACTGAGCGGTTCCATACGACGCTATACACACAATCACTGTCATAGCGGTGCACTGCCCATACAAACGTACCGGGGCGCTTAGTGCTCTACGTCATGTAGTTTGCATAACGTAGCTATGGCGCGTAGTATTATCGTTGCACCGCTATGATCACTGTATACAGTCGTTGTTTGAATACAATCGTTTGCGCATTCGTTTAGTTCAGTGCAAGCAGAACAGAACACGAAACAACACACCACAGCAGAGCAGAGCAGAGCGGAGCACAAACAGTTTCAGTTCTCCGAAAAATTTCGTCATATGCGGTAATTCAGAATATAATCGTATGTATTTATTATTAAATCATTTTCGACTCTTGAAATATTGGCATTTGGCATCTCAGTGTGATGATCACACAACCGTAGTCAAAAATTGAATCGTCATTGAATTTAAACTGACTTGAGATTGTGTACTGATTCGAAATTGTGTTCTGATTTCATCAGAAATTTCAGACAACTGTCATAAACCGACCACACTGTTTTTGCGTCGTGCGTCAAAAACCTCCAAACACAGCCATGGACACAAAAACTGGATTTGAAGGCCATTATTTGAACGAAGAATCGGCCGATGTTCATTTCATTTGTCGTTCGGATGATCGTCAGAGTGATGTCCGCGTGCCGGCCCACAAAATTGTTCTGGCTTCAAAAAGTGAAACATTCCAAGCAATGTTCTATGGTTCACTGCCAGAAAAGGGTGATGTGCCGTTACCATTGCTTACAGCCACCGCGTTCAAAGAATTCCTACAGCTGTTCTACTTCACCCAGGTTGGTGTCACCATGGACAATGTGAATGATGTGGTCGATTTGTCGAAAAAGTATCAATCGGAGCACGGACTGTCAATTTGTGGGGATTTTCTGAAGGAAAATCTATCGAACGACAATTTCATCACAGTCTACGAATTGGCTCTGCTCTACGAGTTGACCGAATTGAAATCGTTCTGCGAAATTAGCGCACCGGTTTTCCTGTCAGAGGAAGACATCGTCAAGTGTACGCGCACCGAGCTGAAGCACATTTTGCAAATCAAGCAATTGTACGTTGACATGAATTTGATTGACGTTTGTGTGCAATGGGCACAAAATGTGTGCGAAGAACGACAAATCGGCCCCGAAAGCATGGAAAACATCGTGCAAGAGATCGGTGATTTGGTCGAATGCTTTGATTTTGCATCGATGCCACAGAGTAAAATCGAAGAAGTGCTAGACACATTCGATGCGGTTTTGACGAAAGACACATACAAAAAGGTCACCGCCATCTTGATGAAGCGCGGCACTCCGCTTGATGTCAATAAGGTAAGCACTCTTGTAATGAACTTTTTTTTCACTAATCAAACAACACTGGTGCATGCACACTTTTTTCTTATTTTATCCTAACCCTTTTGTTCCAAATTCCAGATTCTCTGGGTTGCCAAGGAGAAAGAGACAAACAAGCGCTACATTGAACCAACCGAAGTGATGACTGTCATTACAAACAAAACGATTACGGTGCGTGCCGTTGGTTTTGCCCCAATTTATTGGGAACACCCAGAAGAAGCCGATTCCGACGATGATATCTACGGCCAACTGGTAATCCTGCAAGATAAGGTGGACAACGGAAACGAATACACAGTTTTGCTACGCGAAAGTTTCAACCTTGATCCGTTTGGAAATGATTTGGACGATGCCAAAACGGTACAAATCCAGCGATTCGAAAGATCTGTGGTTTTTGAGCCAAATCAAATGTACAAGCTTCAAGTGCAGCTCATGATACGCAAGAAAGACGAGATTTTCTGCCGGTCCAAATTGATCGCAGCCGGTAAGCATAAGTACAACCGATCGTCAGGTGATCCAACCGAAATTATGTTCGATGGCAACAGCACCATCGCATCGTTGGGCATTGGCATTGAATACATTGATATGGGAACCGATCGGCTAATGATGATTGATGAAACCAAATGAATCGAACAAACAGCACTCACAGACGAATCTCATTTACGCTGAACACATAAATGTGTCAAAATGATTGACAAAGATTACACAACCAAATGATTGAATCGAATGATATTTGCTAATGAATAGCTTTAATTTATATATTTGAATCATGATCGAAATGCTATGCAAACTATGTTATAAGGAGATTATTTCATAAGACAATCCAAAATTTATATGTCCTAACCATTGTTCTCTGTTTTGTTGACTCAATCATAACAATTTCATCAAAGAAAAAGAAAGAAAAACTTAAGAATAAAAAGTCCGTCAATAGTTCATCAGAAAAATTCTTATCCAGTTATTTTTCAGCAATTAGTTCGTACTTGTTTCAGTTTCTTCTGAGAGTTGGAATGAAAGTCTGCTCTTGAGACGCATGACTATGAGTACGGTAAGTGTTATGATTAAAAATTGATGCGTACAACATTCTCTGTTCAGATCAACTTGAGTTGGAAATTGTTTTCATTTTGATACATTTGACTTGAGTCCAATCCAAAATTATTGGGAAATAAAAACACCATTTTTGAATTGACTGAAACTTCTTAACGGAAAAGCATTTATTACATGTAATATTGATGCATCATTTGTTTACATAAAACATAACCTTAAATATATACAATTTGACATTTTAAGTGTTCAGTTTATCGTCGTCGATTGCCTTGTCCAGCAAGAATGCTGACCAGTCGAATGAAGATGTTCAATGTGTCCATGTAGATTGAAATAGCGCTGTAAAATCAATAAAATGAGTTTGAATGAGTTAAAAAGTCGATCGAATGAATTTTAAACGAAAAGGTGTTTTGTTATTCGTTAAACTTACGCATTGACTGGATCGAACTTCTGTACTGAATAATTTGGATGGTTCTCGGCTTTGTGGACGATTCTTTGTGTGTCGTACAGCAAGAAAGCGCTGAAAAGCAACAGACCTCCGTACAAAGACATTGAGTAAAGACCAGCTCCGAGGGCTGTAGTTGCTGGCAAGAACATTGATCCAACAGACGATGCAAACACAACACCTAATCCAATGGCCAATGGGCCACCCATGTACAGGAATCGATCATTTGGTGCACATACAGCAACTGAAACATTCGATAACAAACAAAATGAATGAAAAAATGAAAACAATTAGTCACTTGGTCTATAAATAGCCAGTCTGATTCACTTACCGGTTGACAAGCCGCCAATAATACCCGCTGTGTACCTATACGAAGAACGAAATCATTAACAACAGTTGTGAAATAGAATATTTATCAAAAAGATATAGAGAATTTATCACATACCATGCAGCTCGGATCAAGATTGGGCCGCCAACGAATGAGATAGGAGCAAGAACGGCACCCTATGTGAAATGAATTGCACGTTAAAAATTGGATCAGAGCCAAATCAAATGTCTGTCTAAATTACCATAATGGCACAATGAGTGATCCATGCCAATTGTTTTGCACCGAATCCTTTTTCGTAGGGAATTGATCGGGCGACCATGCCGGAACCCATCATTAAGGCCAATGTAGCAATCATCGAAATCCATCCAGTACGAGCGAAAATGTTCATCAAGGCTGGCGTACGGAATACAGCCGCAGCACTGGCGGCAGTGATGGCAACCGAACCACCGAAATAGGCATAGGTGTCATGAATGCGCTCACGAACGTACTGTGGCCATACCCTGTAATTAACACAGTTTGTGTCAAAAGATGTATGAGTAATTGACATTAGAAAATTTTCCACATCGTTGTGAAATTCGTCCACACTTACATCGATTGATTCAAAATAGTTTGTCCATCGTTGGTCAAGCCAAGTCCGTAGAAGCACAATGCGCCCAAGCCGAGTGCTGAGCCACCAATCAATGCTCCTTTGCCGATAGCGAAAGCTGAAAACAACAACAACAACAAATCAATGTGATTCAAATGGAAAAACTCAGTTGGAACTGATTTTAAAATCGAATTGAATCAAAATGCATACCATTTGGTCCAGCTGGAGCCATAACTCGTTCCTTAAGCGTTTGTCGCTGGGCAATTCTTTCAGCTCGTGTCATTGTGTCGCGTCCGTCACGGTTGAAGTGTCGAACGATTTGGTTGCGAATGGGCATCTTTTGTAATGTTCTTCCGGTCAATGCCATCGAAAGCATTGGCTGCGATTGAACAATTAAACGCGACAACATATTTGCTTTCTTTTCGTTTCACTTGTCGTTAGGTACTGCCGGGTTTGAGAGAAAAACACAAAAGAAATGAATCAATTGGACGATGTGATGCAATACACGATTGATAAGTGAAATTTATTGATTAAATGACAAATCAAATGAGCAAACTGCAGAAACTTACGTTTAAAATGATTTTACACAGAATAAAATTGAGTTGATTACTGCGACTCAATAATTGTCAAAATTGCGTTGGAAACTAATGGAAACTTTTACCGATAATTTCTTCTTTTACGTGAGATCACTTTCTCGATTGTTCTCGTAATGCAAGTCTTTTTGCGTCAAAATTTACTTTGACACTTGAGCTGCTAGCAAAACAGAGTGAAGTTGTTCACATGGTGATGCTATGTATGGCGCAAGTACTAGATTGAAGGTAAAATATTCTGGTATTTCATTGCCCCGCTACGAAGAATTACTATTCAAAACGCGCATTCGTAACAATAGCTATTTTCAATAGCTGATTTAAATTCCTAAAAAATGATTGAATAATATTGTCTCGGCTATTGATTGAATTTTGTCGACTTCTTTTACCGCAAAAATAGTTCAATAAAAAGAGGATTGGATTTACAAAGCCACATTCCTTACAAGTAAATCATAATATAATTTACCCTTTCTCCAGTCGATTACATGTGCAAAGGATAATCAGAAAATGACCAGTGATCAACCGAAGATTTGCCGGTTATGTTGTTTTGAAACACGGAAATGTAGTTTAAAAAAAAAACGAGAAATTCATGTGAACATTAGCATATGATTTTTGTTAAAAACGAGCTTCACAGAATTTGCATGGAAATGGTCTCTCAGTCTGACGATATCGCATGTGGATCTTTAGTTTAGCTGGTCCTCCTTTAACGTTTGCTTGGCACAAATAACATTGATAAAGACGGCGCTTGCATTTTCCTTCATGTACATTCTTCTTTTCTTCTTCTGTAAAAGGTTTCCGGCATTTGGTGCTGTTTTGAATGTGTTACCAAATGTTCGTTAAGATGAAATTTCCGTGAAAACATTCTCGAACAAACCGAACACTCGAATGGTTTTTCTCCACTGTGGGATCGCATGTGATTCTTCAATTGTGACAAATCATATATGGTGTACTTGCACGCGTAGCACTCGTACTGACGCCGTTGGCACTTGGAATCGTGGTCAGTCTTATCATTTTCGTGCGCAAATCTTTGACGACACTTTGAACAATGAAATTTCAATCGAGGATCATGAGTTTGTTCATGCCGTCGCAAATCACTTTTCTGCGTAAAAGATTTCGCGCACATTTTGCAGGCGAATGACTTCTCGCCAGTGTGCACTCGAATGTGCTTCTCGAGAGAAGATTTGAGCGATGTAGAGTGATTGCACAAATGGCACTTGTGCTTCTTCTGTCTCTTTACCGTTGCTTTCTTCGAAGCCTTGGCATTGGTTTCCTTCTTTCGACCACTTTGCCTCTTTCCCTCAGCTCTACGCGTACGCTCTTCACCGTTGCTTCTTGCGCTTGATCTTTGACAACCCGAATTTCCACCTGCTTGTGCATCACCTAAACCGTCAGCATCGCTGGAACTCGCTCTTTTGACCGAATCGTGCTCCTTCTCTGGACATTCATCTTCACTTTTGATCTCATTCTTTGTATAATCGTCATCGTAATCGAAATACATTTCGTTGTCTGTCTCGTACTCCATTTTGATTGTATCAGTCACATCTGCTGATGGTGGCTGTCACTGAGGTCGTTCGACATCAACCATTTCGACATTACCTCTTGCCTCTTCCTTCACAACAACTTCTTGCTTGATTTCGACATTCGTTGTGTTTGTCGATCTGTGGTTGCGCCTACGTTTCACTTTGCCACCGCGAATACCTTTAATTCGGTATGGCTTCATAACTTCAAATGATAATCTGTAAAGAAGTGTTTCAAATTAGTGTTGATTTGGACTTGTAACACAACATAAAATGTTCGAATATTCTGCGTTCAAGCATTGTTTCATTCGTCATTAAAAATTGCACCGAAAAAATTATGTAAATTCAATAAGCGATTCAATTTATTCGTTCACTGAAAAAGTCAAGACAATCAAAGTCAATGCAGTGGAATTTCCCATCAGTTTGACACATGGTTTGATTCACCGTTCAATGTTTGTGTTTTCTGCCGAAGCGACGGCAACAATTCCAAAAATTGCGACTGATTTTTGCCGAAATTCAAATACAAACAATGGAATCGAATATTTAAGAAAAGTGTCATGCATGAGAGAACAAGATTCGATAGAAAAAAACAAACAAGTGAATCCTCAATTTTCCAAAATTCAGTCCAATTTTTTGAGGTGAATATCGGCGCTTTCAGAGGACTCCTTTGAGCATTTTAAAATACGAAATGTTAAACATGAGCTCAAATGATATTTGACGAATGTTTAATGCAACACTTTGAAAACTGGCTGAACTACGAATGATCAAACGGGTGAAAAAAATCTTCCAAAGAAATGACTCTCGTTTCATATAAAACATAAAGAATACGATGGAATTATATAAGACGAACTGTCAAAGCAATAAAATCACGACAATGCTGATTTTTTGTCACTTACCTTTCGTTTCGCGGCTGTCTGTGCACAAAATGATTGGAAACGTGTGTTCGATGCGTGTTTCCCGTTGAGATGACCATGTGTTTGTGACTTACACCATTCACTGTTAGTACAGCATCGGCTACATTTTCCACAACAACTGTGTTGAATAAAAGTTTTGCTGTTTCGCACAAGTGACTTTGACAACTCAAATTGGTATGAAGTTGACCACTTCTAATCCGATTCCAATTTCTGCATGCTATTTGCAAATGTTCGTTTGAAACATGGAATAAAATGCAATTTTTCTTATTTCCCTACTTTAATTTTCTTTATTTCGATTCGATAGTTTCAATAGTGGTTATAAAGACTGAACATAAATCTTTTTTGCTGCCTAAACTGGTAATGTATGCGCATATTCGCAAGTCTACAGTTTGAACAACTGTAGTTTTATCGTGATTACAAAACATTTTTTTCTCTTTTCACAAAGTTTGCTGAAATCGACTTGAATTTAAACGTTTAAAAAAAATTATTATCAATTAATCAATTTGAATTTGTGGCTGAACAGTTTTGCTGATTTCATCAATGAGTGCATCCCGAATAAACTGACCAATCGTCGAATTTTTGATTGATTTGCACATTACAGTGAGTCCATTGTCAAAGAAAATGCCGGCGTTAAAGAAAATTCGCATGAATTCTTTGACGTTACCCAGTTCAAATGATGATTTTACGCCGGCATCAACTTTCGCGCAATCAATTATATGATTGACGAGCTGTTGAATCGAAGTGAATTGATTTTCGTTGCAGCATTCCGGTGTAAATTTTAAATCGGCAGCCTGGTCGCCTGGCCTAATTTGTAATCTCTTAAGCATTCTATCATCAAATAGTTCGATATGTTGCGATTGATGTTCTTTTTGGAAGTGTTCAACGAACAAACCCTTGGCCGCAAGATTTGTCTTAGCAGGTATGTAAAGGTTGCAAACGCCACAGTGATGTTTGCTGGTTGGGCTTGCAATAATTGTAAATTCTGCCGTTGGATGATTGCGTAGATAATGGTATTTCATGCCATCAATTGTGCTGATCGTTGAGCATTCAACGCATGACACCAATTTCTTTGGCATGTATAAGAAATCCTTCATTTCATGCATTTCTCGGCAATGTTTCTGGACCTCTTCGAGTGATTCGAATAGCGCATGATGTGTTATGAGTTCATTACGACAGTGGAAACATTCATATGCCATCATTCGATCAAATTTTTCGTTTTCCTGTGTCAAAGCGTCTGTACTCCAGCCGAAGTCACTAGGATCATAAATCACCGTTTGTATTTGAAATTCCAGCCATTTCGTTGGCGAATGATCACGACGATGATGTGCAATCAATTGGCTCTTTGTCGTTGCATACTTTCCATCTTTCAAACAAACGAATAAACCGCTGAATTGCAACCGATTTGATATGGTTGACTTTGTTTCGACGGGTTGTTGCGGATCACTTGACTCAATCACTTCAATATGCTGAATGATTTTCGAATCGAAAACATTTGTAGAATGCGTTTTCTTAATATGATCACCGATTTCCTTGCGTGTTTTGTACAGTTTGTGGCACAAATTGCATTCAAATTCGCAAATTACCCGTTTGGTTACTTTTTCTACCTGTGACATCGACTCGACGGTTTTGTACGTGATTTGTCTGTCGGAATGTTTTTTCGAAATGTGCCGAAGTAAATCTTCCTCTTTGTTCGATCGGAAATTGCAAACCACTCCAGTCTCACCAGCGTCGGCTGTACACAAATAGGGATAATCATATTTTAAGAAGAAATCACTTGAAGCTCCACTAAAGGTGAGATGCGGAAATGGTTCGGTGAATGCAATTTTTTCCACTTCTTCATTTTGCTGTGTTTGATGGCTTTCATACGCATACAATGACGGGTCCATGCAACTTAAATCACAGCCATTGGGCAATTTGGAAAATTTATACAAATTTTGATCGTATAAGTCACCAATGTAGAGAATAATAAAGTCGGCCATCAAATCAACGCCTGGCATTCGTCGTCGTGTGGCGGCAAATGAGAATTTCGATGAATGCTCCAAACTTAGGTGATTTCTTAACTTGAGGATGTCATTGTCTCCAAATGATTTACAGTAAATACACTCAAACTCCCAGAAATTGTGAGCATTCAAATGCGATTGAATTTGCTGGTGTGAAACAGTGGCATCACAGTATTTGCATTTGTAGTTCGCATTGTTCGGGTGCTCATTGTCAAGATGATGAAAAAGATCATCGAACGTGCCGTATTCTTCCAAACAATCGTCTGTAAATAAAAAGAAACACAACAAACAAGAACATAAACCATTGGAAATTGACAAGGGAAAAAGGTTCAGGCAATAGAAATGGGAGAAGTCATAAAAATTCATAAAAGTCAATACAAAGGCAATAAAAGAATCTACAAAAATGGGAAAACCCATAGAATCAGTCTGAAATTTAAATTGTTCACCTTGTCCGCATTGAATTTTTGGAATCTTTCCCACGTCCTCTTGCAACATTTCTCTGTCTTGTTCTCGAAATTCGCGCACATCGCCGCACAAGTAAATCTCACGTTCTTCCTTCGCATGATGAACATCATAATGCAGAGTAATGTTGTCGACTTCAACCGACCGATAGAAGCAGTATGCACACTGGAAGATACATTGCTCATGTTCGACCAATACGTGGTCCAATATTTCTTTATTGGAATGTGCATTAAAATCACAATAGCTGCAATCACGGAACTTGATTTGTTCGCCACGAACTGTTTTATCCAGTGTGCCGTCCGCACTGTCTTGCAGAACATCGATGAGCGCAAGATGATGTTCCATATGCGATTCCATATCTTCCTTCGACGAGCTCGAAAATCGACATTGTGAATGCATACACTTGAATAACGCAAACTGAGATATTATACTGATGGTCGGTTTGGTCCATTTTTCACTTATCCATTGTTTTACTTTGAAGGCATAGGTCTTAGATTGCTTATAATGCTCAGCAACAGCCAACAAATGCTCTTTTTCAGCCGGGTCATTTTTAATTGCTTTTTGCATCCGCCAATATTTCGTATTTTCAGCTGGGGAATGGTCTGCTGCACCAAAATCGTCTAAGTCGATGACATTGGGCACCTCATTTATTATAGATTCACTGGATGATAGGTTCACTGTAATAAAACAAAGTGTTGAAAATAAGAAAATGTAACAAAAAAGCAAGTCCTTGAAAAACAAAACAAAAAAAGAATTTACAAAAGCAGTTGAGCACGAAAAACGATGAGAAAAAAACAAATTGTCAAACTTTTTTACCTTCTGCATCATCGTTTGTATCCTCCGATGTGTATTCGATCTTTGTTTGATGCCGTAGCATTTTGCGTTCGTTCTTAATCGATAGCAGCGTGATAAGTTTGTACTTGTCATCGAGAACGTCGTCACTGAATTTATGTTGAGTTTTCAAATGATTGATCATATTCGCCACTTCGATCTGCGCATAGTTGCACACCAAGCAAAGATGAACGGTTAAATCCGCCTCATCCAAGCGAAACTCGTCAATATTTCTGGTTCGTTGTTGGCAATGGTATGACGGGAATGGAAGAAGCAAACAACAAACTGGGCACTTATTTTTATATTCTCCAGTATGGGCTTGAATATGATTGGGCCAATAGGTTGCAGTGAATGCCTTTTCGTCTTCACAGAATACACATTGTGCTTCAATCAATTTATCGATACTTTTGACAACGATACTGGATTTCGGATGATCTTTCTGAATTTCTTCGGCCATTTTTGGCGACAGCCGAGATGCAACCACTTCGGACAAACTGTGGCATGTCTTGTAGTGAACGACGATTCGTTCGTAACGTTTCTTGCAAATTATGCATATTTTGGTCAATGAATGATTGAAATACAGCGTTTTATTAATATTCAATGGTATTTCCATTTTTGGTTTTTTCGAACGAATTATTGCGTTTGCATCAATCTCATTTTCACCAGATCGAGCTCTCTTTTGATTGTTTCTCGCTTTGAAAGAATGTTCTTTATCATTGGATTTTTCACATCGAAGCTCATTCAATATCTCCTTTAATGTTGATTCCAGACTTTCTTGACCTTTTAACAATTTCTCTTGATTCTGCACCAATAGCGTATGGCTTTCCGTAAGAGAAGCTTGATTCTCTGACAACTTTTTCAAAAATGGAGATTCCGTTAGCAATTTTTCAATCGAATTAGCATTCGCACTGGATGGTGTTTCCGTTGATGAAGCTGGTCTCGCCTGAGACGATTCATTGTTTTGCCTTGAATTGTTAAAATGTCTTGGTCCATACATTTCACTGAGGAATGCCTCATCGTTTGCATCAATAGTCAATCCGGTTGATGCAGCTCCATTGGATAAATGTCCAAATTCTTCAATATCGAAATCCAAGGATGGCATACTCGGCGGTAGCTTACTCATGATATCGCGCATAAATGATACGTTCACAAATTTCATTAGGATTTGATCAAAGACTTTAGCAAAAACATCAGTTAAACTCAACCAATTGATTCCGTTGGAGAATATTGATTTGGTTGATTTTGGTTTTTTTGGCCTGCTCAGTTTTCAGTTCACCCAATACACCAATATTTTTTAGTTTGTTTTTATTCTACTGTATTTCACTTATCGATTCAAAGCACTCCAGTTCTTTCGAACGGATACGCCGAATAGTGTGCGCCCTATGCTGCAAGAATAGTCTCTTTCGACTTTTCAGCAGCCACTGACGAAACAAAACTTTATCACATTTACGACTTCAATTTTTTTCCCTCAAAACAGACATTTGTCAACGGTCAAATAATTGTATAAGCACAACAAGCTGTATACACTATTAATGATGTTCATTCTAAAAATATTTAGCTGTCATTTTTAGTAAAGATCTATGTTATTCACTTGAAAGTCACTAGATAACTGTTAACTATTCACTGCAAGCGTTTGAATTTATGAACGATGCATGATACATGCAAAATATGTTGATAATACGCAGTGCCGAATGATGGTATTGAATGTAGAAGACTGAAATCGCAGTTACCTGGAATATCGCACTAAACCCACACAGCACAATGTCATTAAGTTCTACGGGTACATGCAATAATCCTTAGACTCAATAGTCATTTCAAACTGTTTGTCTAGTCCTTTTCAAAATTGTTTTATCGGGAACTATCGAACATTTTACAACATTTGCACACAAATTAAATGTTGAAGGCAGATTGACACTTTTGCCTGCAAAAAAAAACAAAACAAAACAAAAACAAATAAATTCAAACCGGTCAACACAAATGGAATAGAAACAAGCTAAATTATTGTTCTAGTAAACAAAATACAACGAGAATAACTTGATTTGAAGAAAAAACGTTGTTGCTTTAGTTATTCATGCTGCCGAAATATATTCTCTTATTTACATTGGTAATAGCGATGCCGATTGTCAAAGTTTGACAGTGTCAAACCTACTATGATGACTTTAAAACAGTTGAACTGGTTCAAATGAAAGTGACAAACATTCGAAATTACTCCATTTTCCCGATTATTAAATCACTTCACGAATAGTATTCTCTTTGCATTGTTCACCAATTTGGATTGAACCGCTTGACAGTTCTGTATTATTAAAACGTGCGAAAGATATATCAAAAAGGTTATGATAGCAAGAACCCTTTTTTTGCATACTCAGTAGAAATAGAGCAGGTAAAAAATTCGTGGAATAATGCTGGGGAAATATATGAATTTAAATACCAAATCGAACTACGGCACGTAGTCGGAGAATGCAGTTGTTATTCTAGTACTACAGTACTAGTTGGATCGCTTGGTTGAGATAATGAGCGCCATATTAGTCAAAAGCAAGCCGTCCGTCAAATAGGCAGAAAAAGAAGAAGAAGACAAACCAAAATTTAAACAAATATATTAGTTTTTTTTCACATTTCTCGTTCACAATTTCCAACAATTTCATTGCAAAATGGAAGTTGACGAGGATGTGTCATCAATTTGTGAGTCTACGGTGAGTTAGAAACTAGCGTTAGTGCGAATAAAGTGAAAAAAATTTGAAAATATTTTCTGCAATGGTACTGAAACAGCTTTACAGCAGAAAAGGGTGTTTGATGTGTAGCACCAAAACATAACCTCACATTTAGCGATGTGTTTGTACCCGCACATTGTATACAAACATCAAACATTGAACAGGATTTTGTTTATATGCGATTTTGTTTGGAATCACACTAAATGATTGGGATTTTTTTTTTGTTATAGCTCTCACTGTCTGAAGGATGTCGCCTGCCTGTTCGAATGAATGGAACCGACGATTGGCCATTAGCTGAAATAATCAGTATTCGTGAAATGCAGGGCCAATTAGTGTTTTATGTTCATTATGTGGATTGTAAGTTATCTCATTGGAATTGAGTTGGTCAAACGATGCACATTTTCTAATCGGTCAAATTTATTTCCAACAAACCTAGTTAACAAACGTCTTGACGATTGGGTCACAGAAGATTACCTAGACACACGAAAAGTGCAGTTCCCGCGAAAAGATGGCACGGCAACGGGTCAAAATACAGGAGTCACAACGCCGAAGCGATTTATATCAAATTCAATGGGCCCATTGGGCTTGAATTCGACGACATCGCGACCCACCAGTCCAAAGGCTGACATCGAAAATGATTTGGTTAACGGAAATACTGTGATGGCGGCAGCACTTCAAAAGAAAATCAACCGCAAACGAAAAGTAAGTATCAATTCCATATGCTGGCACAAAAATAACAAGCACAATTCAATCCAATGGCACCATTCCTCTTTGCAAATGTTCGTTCTTTTCAATGTTTTTGCGCTGTGAATTTGTAAACTTAACTTAAATGTTGTTTGTTGTCTTTCTTGCATTCTTGCATGCACATTCTGTGCGCCGGCCACTTGCTTTTTGTTTTCGCATTTACTCTTACCTCTTCGTATTTCACATGACACCAACCGATGGATGCCGCCGTTCCACCGTCACCAATCACACCAACGGCATTGACGCCGCGACAACAATCGGCCATCCTGAAATCGACACCATCCGTCGAAAAGATAAACGCATCGGAGCCAGTTTCTGTGCCAACGACACCAAGCGTCGGTGGTGAAGATTCAAACGACGCTAGTCAATCGGCATCAACGCTAACCCCGCGACAATCCGGCAGCATGGTCACACACCATGATGATGTAGTGACGCGAATGAAAAACGTCGAAATGATCGAATTAGGAAAGCATCGAATAAAACCGTGGTATTTTGCGCCATATCCGCAGGTACTAGCAAACAGACTGATTTCGATTTTATTGGAACATTTTTCCTCTTTTCGATCATTTCTAACCAATTCTCTTGCTTTTTTCTTGTAGGAAATGTGCGGCGAACCCTGTATCTATATCTGTGAATTTTGTTTAAAGTATCGCAAGAGTCGAAAGTGTTTGGAACGTCATTTAGTTAAATGTAATCTGCGTCACCCGCCCGGCAACGAAATCTATCGCAAGCAAACGATTTCATTTTTTGAAATTGATGGCCGCAAGAACAAATGCTACGCACAAAATCTCTGTTTACTCGCCAAATTGTTCCTCGATCACAAAACACTCTACTATGATACGGATCCTTTCCTATTTTACGTGATGACTGAATACGATCCGCGCGGTTTTCACATTGTCGGCTATTTTTCAAAGGAGAAAGAAAGCACCGAAGATTACAATGTTGCTTGTATTCTGACAATGCCGCCATACCAACGCAAAGGCTATGGCAAATTGCTTATTGAATTTAGTGAGTGTTGTTTTTTCCCTACATTCTGTTTTGGCATGGAATTTTTCATCTGTTCAAAAACTAATGTCAATTGTGCTATGTTTGGTTTTAGGTTACGAATTGTCAAAATTCGAAGGAAAAACGGGTTCGCCAGAAAAACCATTATCCGATTTAGGATTGTTGTCATATCGCTCATATTGGGCGCAAACTATTTTAGAAATATTCCTTAGTCAAAAGCCATCGGGCGACAGTGAACGTCCTCAGATTACAATCAAGTAAGTTAAGATCCACTGAAAATATTTTTCAAATTCCAAATTAACATGTGTTGATCGTTCAACGCATAATCGATTCCCGTACTAATGTCCATTTTTTTGCTCTGTTTCCAGTGAGATTTGCGAGTTAACAAGTATCAAAAAAGAGGACGTGATATCAACGCTTCAGAATTTAAATCTAATTAACTATTACAAAGGTCAATATATTATTTGTATAAGTATGGAAACGATAAAGCAACATAAGAAATCAATGGAAAATCGAAAAATTCGCATCGATCCAAAGTGTCTGCACTGGACACCGAAGGATTGGTCAAAACGATCAAAATGGTAAATGACATGATGCAGACCGAATAAACAAAGGAATCATTTGACGTTTACGTTGTGTACCACCGTTGAGTATTTCCAATTCATAAAACTAATTCTCATCTCATCGTTTAATATGACTTAAAATTCCATTATTGAAAGAGAGAAAAAAAGGATCAAAACAAAGTTCAATTTTTTTTTTAAATCTGCGTGTATTATCTCGTCTCTTCTTTTTCAGTAGTAATAATTTATTATTGAAATGTGAACTTGGTGTTTTGCTTTACATTTAAAACTCTTTACAAACAAATAAATAAGAAACAGAATAAAAAAAAACAAACAAACAATTTCATGACTTTGCTACGCCGTTTACGAAGTACTACCGATGAGCAGGAATTCGATTTAATTCAAAGTAGATAATAAATTTTTAGTAGAAACTGCAACTAAGACAAAACGTGATTTCAACACACACACACAAACAAAACAAATTACACAAATAAAAAACAACAAAGTGAAATGAAAATAACCAACTGAAACTATGTAGATTTTTGAACCGAATTGTAATAGATTTACAAAACAAATCAATGTGAATAAATGTTATTTTCGAAAAATGACTGCAAAATACATGGCATGCGTTTTAAATCTTTCGTTAAAGTTTTCTTTATCCTGAACTAGGGAAGACGAGCAAAGCGAGAAAAATGGTGAGAAAATACTCATTTTGCTCTAAGGGAATCGGATACTTCAATGCAAAATTTTCTGGAACTCTTAATTTAAAACTCCTGAAAATATTAGGTATTTTTTCACTTGTTGATTCAGTTCAGGCTCTATACCAAGCTAAATTCGCTGATTGTGACCGATATTATAAATAACTGCCAACAGCACATTCTTTACTTGATTAAAAGTAAGTATAAAAGGTACTATTTTATTCAATCCATTTTAAAAATATTTTGAGTATGATAGTTCCTTAAAATTTGTTTGTCTTATTATTTATCCATTAATTTTTTTCATTTTATTTTCAGTTTTTAGTTTATTTATAAAAATTAAATCTGGATTTTTTAAATTATTAAAGGTATTGGGTATTTTGAAAATTGAAATTGAAAAAATCTTGTATTCATTTAGAACCGAAAGCGTATTTAATTACTGTATTCTGATGTACGCAATACTTAGGAAATTGTCGATATTCCTATTACAACGACTAAATCTATCCGTCTGAGTGAGCTAAAACGAGCAATCAACACATTGAAGCGTATTCATCGTAAATGACATATGACAATAGGATTTCACATAAAGCAAAGGCGGAGAAAATGCTTTGTGTGTATCTCACAGTAGATGTATGCGCACACAGCTCTTGTATTTGATCTGTGTGTGCACATTTACTTGGACTTTGGTCGAACCGCCAAAATTTGACAGTCGGACCGAATTCTATATAAATGTGCACGAGCACCAGAAACACAAGAATAAAATACCATTTTATTAAAATTTCCGATTAAAAAAAAATGAATGCGATAACCTGCGTGATCATGATGGCAATTTTGTCCGGAGTGGGTCCAATTGACAAATTAGAAGTGAATAAGTCGATTGGAGATATCTACAACGAAAAAATAAATCTATTGTTAATTTATAACAAGATGCTGAAAAGCATTTGCGACCATCACAATCCAATAGGATGTCATGATGTTGTGGCACAGATGAAGAAGCGATTGGCAAGCATGTCACTAAATATCTGTAATGAAACCACAGTCACAGCAGAAATTGAAAAAGAAATTCAGCATACACTGCACCAAATAAACATCAAGAAGTACTTGAACGAAATAAAAAAGCTGGACTCTAATGTGCTAGCTACAGTCGAATCGACGAATAAAATATTTGAGTCACTGTCAAGAGATGTCAACAAGACTATTGACCGATTGGAGCAATTATCATACAAGTGCTCCAAAATTGTACCGAAGCAGTCAAATATTCTGGAACACATTTTGATTGGTTTAGCAGGAGCGCTTGCATTTGTTGGGTTCTTCGTACTTATCAAACATATATGTGATGTAAAAAATGAAGATAACGCCAACAGAGTTGGAGTCAGTTTCTCAAACAAGAGTGAAGATCCAAAGGACGCTAGCCAAGCGGTATCAACGCTACAATCCGACAGCATGATCAAATTATAATAGCATCTAATAAAACCGTGATACTATGCGTCGTACCTGGTACTAATTATAGACCAATTTTGAATTCTCATTGGAATATTTTTCATCTTTCATCGTTTTGATCATTTTTAATCAATTTTATTGATTTTTTTCTTGCAGGAAATGTGTGACGAACCCTGTGCTTAAAAAACAGAAGACAAAAAAGTAAATGAAATGAAAATAACCAATTGAAACTATTGTGAATTATTGTGTATCACTATCTTTTGTAAAGATTAACAAAACAAATGTGAATAAATTTGTTTTTTGAAAAATGACGGCAAAATACATGGAAAAAATACACAGTTTTGAATCTTTCGTTGAATTTTTTTGTCATAAATTTGCAGGGAGAAATAAGAACAAGAAAGACTTTTTCACTTTGTTTCAAGAAAATCCGATGATTCAACAGAAAATTTAGTTGAAAACCTTTAAATCTTACCTTTTTTTCCTTCTTACCACTGCTGCTGATGGTGATAATAAATGATCAATGAATCAGAACATCCATTTTCAAAACACCACAGTTTGCGGCCATCGATTTCAAGGTCTTTGAAATACAACTCTTCAAGATTGATCGAAATAAAAGGCACATTCAATTCACATAATATTTTGTTCTAGAAATTTTTATTTGCTAATATCAATGGAAAACAAAAGATTTTTTTTGTTTATAATAATAATTTTATTTTACAGTTTGTTTTAATTCCTTCTTGCAATGAAAAAAATTTAAAAAAAAGTGGGAAAAAAGGAACTGAACAACTGAATGGCCAATTCAAATTGCTTCCATCAATAATAGTAATCAATTCAAGGGCTAAATAAAAACACATTAAAGCGATGCGCATGTGTTTATCATCTTTTAATTCAATTTAACTAATCTCCAACATTTCATTTGTGTTGTCCGCTATCGCGCTGTATTTTGGGATCAAGCAAAGAATTTTGTTTTTTTTTCTCTTCAGTTTTTCATGTCTTCAGTTGTGATTAACAAACACGTTCAAAATAATTTCTACAATAATAGCGGTTTACATTCACAAGTGTATCTAGGTTATATGATTAAAAATTTGTACAAATGACTTGATTGCTTGGATTCCTGTGTGTACATTTATTTGCGTGTTTTTTTTTCATATTCTTCTTCCAATAGATTTATAAGTAGTTTTCAAGTATTCTTTTCATTCGATCTGAGACTTTCAATCACTTGAAAGACTTCAATTGGACGAGAAAACCGGTTGTCGCCTCAATTGCAACCATGGCTGCAAATAGCAAGCAAAATTACCCTCTTAAACCTATTTTATTTGCTTTCTCTCTGTCTCATTGATTATTTATTTATGTGGCATGTGTTTATAATTTCACCATTTTTTGTTTTAAAAACCCGTTTCAGTTATAAGTTCAATAAATGTCATGTAAATATCCTCTTGTTCGCTACAAGAACATCTAAAACTCCTAAAAATATTAAGTATTTTCTCTTGTTGATTCGGTTCAGGCTCTATGCTACGTATACAAAGTTAAATTCGCTGGTCATTGCGAACGCTTCCAAATGTGATGACTGAGTGATTGTTTCGTCAAAACAAGTGCCTGTGTTGCATTTGTCGCTCATCATTGTGGTGACGACACTGATCAGCGGTTTTACCATTTTAATTGAAAAATAAGTCGATTTGTGACATTTCTCCCTGGATCAGTACGTATATATATTTATATGGTTTTGTATTAAGCATCTCCTACGTTTTTTTTAGATTCTAATCACAACAACGAATTGGTTTGACATTTTTCTTCACATCAACAAATAGCTAAGCTGGTTTGAGGTCCTGAGTTATTCATATGATTCTCTCTTTGTTTAAAATTTAATTGATTTTTTCCCATTGAGATAATAATGATGAGGAAAATGTGCAACAACAAAAAGTGTTGCAGGTTTGATTTTTCTTTGTCGAATTTTATTTTACATTTTTAAAATAAAATATTCGTATACTCATTCCACTCAGTTGAGTTAATACATATGTGAATAAATAGATGCGATTTTGTTGTTTTAAAATCATTTGATGTGATTCGCAGTTGTCGGGTGGTTTTTTTGTTCAGACTGTTGCTATATTTCTTTCATATGATGACCTGTTTGTATACGCTTAAAAAGTGAATATCAAAATTAATTCATTTTTTGTTCTCAAAACAGTCCCATTCTAGTTGTTGGATGGGTGTTGAATATCTAAAAGGTGCACATGAACTCTCTAAGTATCCAAGCCGAAAAAAGAGGAGTTGCAGCATTTTTTGTGTGCGATTTTGACGTTGAGGAAGTAAATGTGTCCAATGGAGTAATTTGTTTTTGTGTTTGTGGGATAGTGTTTGTTTGTTTTTTTGTTTCAATATAAGTTTATTTTCATAAAATTGTTTTCTTGTATTTATTTTAAGTGGCTAAGTATGCAGATAACTTACTTACAACTATTTATTTAATGTATGTATTGTGCTTCCATGTCTAAGGTTTTATGTATTTTTGTTGTCTTAATTCTAAGCATGTTTTGAGGGTACATTTTCTTTCTCTTTTGTTTTCATTTTTTTTTTTCTTTTTTAATTTATAGCTGAGGTAGTCTAATTCATCAGTTGTGGATTTAAGAACTCGAATCGTTCAATAATAATGTGTGTATGTGTATTTTTCACGTTCTTCTATTGGTTTAAATTAAGTGTCGGTGAAAAAAAAAACAAATATGTATGTATAATTAAATGGCAATTGTATATTTAATTGAGGTAATCTGTGGTTATCCATTCACTGTTTGAGTTCATTTAAAAAAAAAACTTGATTAACTTTGCGCTGAGAAAAAAAATGGTATTTTTCTTTATGAGGTATTTGAATTCCTGTTCCTGATTTTCTTTGCTATGAAATGGCATTTACTTATAAACGAAAAAAAGAGACAGAGACGGCATTGTGAGATTGTTGTTCACAAACACAAAAAGAAAAAAACGAAAATTAATACTAAATATGGAAAATAAAGTAAAGTGTGTTAACATTATTGCAACCTTAATGATTTCTATTTAAGAAGAATAGAGAATTTCATTCCAATGCATTCTTTTACATATTAATTAATACTAAACTTCTGATAATGGGAGGTCTCCGTTACATACTTTTACTTTCTCTCGTGGATGACGTACTTTTTTTTGTCTCGCATTTGATCTCAATAAAAAAAAATGATTTATTAAATCAATACAAAGCAGACTATGATCGTATTGTGCGAATGGATTGAATCAATCATCCAAATTTTTGGAACCATCCAAATCAAAAGAGAATTAAATTTTAATGCCAAACGAAATGTTGTTCGGATGAAATGACGTCGTATTTTTCGATTGTGCAACTGGACCCATTTCATTCGTCAGGATAAATGCAAAATGGCACACAAATAACAAAACAAAAAATAATTTACAATGGGCGCGTCGTCTAAGATTACGTGTTTAACTTTAAGTTAGGAAGTAGATTTGTTACTTGTTCCGACGTGTGTGTGTGTGCGTGACTTTTCACTCGAAAATATCTCTGGGTTTTCTCTAAATTTTAGAAGGTTTTTGTTTTTGTATGTGTAAATGATTTTAGATAAATTCTTAAAAAGTGACGTATACGTTAGTGTTAGTATGCAGTAAATGCAAGTAAATGCCGTTCCATGATTGGAGCCACCACATGCATGTGGTGCTCACACATTGTTTCTCCAAAGTGCACGGAGTCTTTTTTGTGTATTCTTTTCTCTATGTCTATCAACTATCGATTAAAATTTTGTGTTTTTTTTTTCAAATATGTTAAGTAAATAAGTATGGTATTTGAATAGAAGGTAGATTTTTCATTAGTTTTAAAACTGGTATACAACTTAAGGCTCATTAAGTAGATGTTTGTGTGTGTATTTATTGTATTTCATTGTAATTTGAATGGTATCGTCATAAACATTCGACAAAAAAAAACATTCATAAATCTTCATATACTGTTTTTTTTTTAACTATCCACTTAATTTTATCTAGGTTACGTTGCGAATTTCTTTGCTTGGGTGTTTGCATCAAAATCGTTATCTTTACATAATCATTTAATATTCTTAACACGCTATGCACGCAGAGCGTTCATTTTTTGTAACTCTAAAGAGGAAGCGATGAGTATTTTTGTGTCTGGTATTTGCTTTGTGTGTTTTTTTTCTCTTGTTTTGTTCACTTCTACGACTATAACATAAAACGTAAAAATTTATTTATGCCTTAACAAACTAGAAACAATCATTTGCTCTTCTGGATTTGTGAATTTGATTGAAAACAAACCCGAAGGCGTTCCATTAGTTCTTCTCACGGTCACCATCATCATCCGAACCGTATTCATCTTCACCCGATGAGTTGGCATTATTGCTTGCACCATTATTGTCGCTGTCACGTCGACAATTGCGATCCTTTACTTGCATACGATGATCATCTGCGCCCAAGTCCATTGGTTGTGAATCGTCACGACGAATATCGGCCGAATCTCGACCACTGTTTGCATACGATGTTGGTATTTTGGTTGGTTCAATGGTTACACCGCCGCCCGATTGCATACGATTTATGTCCGGACTTTGGCGATTCAATTTCGATAGATCCAAATGTGGTGGCAACAAGCTTGGCGGTAGTTTATCGAAATTATGACCGAGCGTTGACAATTGTGCCATTTTTGCGGCATGAATTGCGGCAGCGGTTTGTTCTTGTGACATTCCCATTCCTGTGCAACAAACACATCGATTGAATTCAATGAACAAAAGAGTTTTTTTTTTTGGAAATGAAAAAACAAAAGCCAGTAAAAAATCGTTTTCTACTTACCGAAAGCGCTTTCTGAAATGAATTGCAAGTACGTATCCAAAATTGACGATCCAGTAGCACCATGTGGTAGATCCTTTTGATCTTGATTATCTGATTTACCACCAGCCGAACCTACACGCGTAATGGTTGTGTTTGGATGTGTGAATCCCATCATTGAATCGTATCGGCCGCTCATGTTGTTGTTGTTAATTCCACTGGCCATGGTCAAATCTTCTGGATCTTCCATTTCGTCAATGTTGCTGTCGGTATCGTGCATACCTCGTGATGATTCCATTTTCATGTCACCTCGACGTGTGCCACTGGTTGGTGAGGCGCGAGCTCGCAGTTCAGCTGGTGAAATTTTGACTCCAGCTTTGGCCAACAAACGTGAAGCGAGTTCCGGATCGAATGGGCTTGGCATTGGTAAAACGGGTAAGTCCTTGGTTGAAATTCCACGATGTTGTCGTGACATGTGCGAGTGCAATGAATTACGTGACTTGGCAACGGTTCCGCAGAGAACACAACGATATCCTGGGCAAACGGTGTGCTTATCCTCCAAATGTGTACGCAATGTATGGGCCGAACGATAGATTTTACCGCATTTTGGACACGGCCGAGGATCAGTAGCACGAACACGCATTTCCAATTGACGACGCGAAACTGTTTTATTTCGATTGGTAAAAAGGAAAATGAAAAGAAAATTCAATTAGTTCAGATGGTTTATGGCGGCTAGTTGTATTGAATAATCTACGGAAAATCGAATTAAACAAATTGGTTCTTTTGCTTTTATTTTGTAATTGTTATTCATATTCATTGTTCTCTCATTGATTTCAATAATATAATAATCAACGCATGAACTTAACAGATATTTTTTTTGTGTGTGTGTGTGTGTGTGTCAGTGTAAGTAAGACCTAACTTATTTGCTAGACCAAAGCGTTTCATCTTTCGTTAAAAGTGGTTTTTTGTTGTTGTTGTTGTTGTTGTATATTAACTTTGGAAGTACTGCTAATAATAACTTTGGTTACAGTTTTTTTTTTTTTTTTTAGCTCTTTCTTCTGCCGATGGTTTTATTTATAGGTTGTTATTCTAACCACTATTTAATTTTAAATATAAATCAATTTAGGTAGAATTTAAAATTGGTTTGCCGACTATTTTTGGGGAGAAAATTCAATAAAGTTAAAAATAAATGTCTATAAAAAAGGATCTAGGTTGCAATCACACATTCAGGTGTCATACGGTGTATGACCCATACACTGAATGGATGCCGAAAAAATTTGTTTTTTTCTTTGGTGTTTTGTTCCTTTTATCAAAAATATGAGCAGTTTTTCTATACATCAAATTGAAGGGATTTTTTTTTCACTTTGCCCTAATTTTTTTCGCACTTTGCCCTAATTTTTTTCGCCTTCTTTTTTTTCCACATTTGTAGCTTTGTTTTAAAAATAAATCAATGCCAAATATAAAATTCAAATTGAAATCAATAACATCAAAACTGGTCACTTTTTTCTATTATTATTATTATTAGTAATTTGAGCGCTCTGTATCGTCGTAGGTCAACGGTATAAATTATATTTAGCAAACTATTTTGCTTGTTTAGGAACTGTAATACATGCCCTAATTAAAAAAAGTTGTGTCATTTTCATCATGCATTGATGGTGTGTATGTGTAATTGTGTGTATATATATAGTTTTCTCTATAACTCATTCTTGGACTTGGGGTATATTTATTTGGGGCTTACACGAATATTTTATAGATACTTCCACTAATTATAAGATTGAATGTGTCGCATAAATGCCCGTTTTCTCTATCTATATCTCAATTCAAGTATCTATCTCTGACTTCGTTATGTCGATGTGTATGTGTGTGAATTCATGTAGGTAACTGCCAAATCGAATTTTATGGTATTTTTTCATTCCTTACAACTTCATTGTTTATTCAAGTGATACTTTGACGCCAGTAAATGTTCGTCCATCAAGTGCTTCAATTGATTTAGTTTGAATATCTTATACATGTTTCGAAATATGTACATAATTTAGCGCTTCGAATTTGTATTTCATATATTACACTAGTTCACTTTGTCCGGAATTTTAAATTCAAACAAAAAAAAAATTCCGTTACAAATAAAGCAAAAAGAAAATACCGAGAAAAACTGCATGCATGCATTTCATACTATGGAATAGTTGTTCACCGTTAACTGTAACAAATTTACTCTCGACATCGTGTACAATATTTTTTCGGTTTACATAAGTTATGAAATTAGTTTTCGGCTGAATTTTGAATTTGAAATAGTAGAAAAAAAAAGTGAATGCAGTTCATTCAAAGTAAAAACGTAAATGAATGAAAAGGTAAATTGGTTTGCCATGCTGGCTATGAAAATTGGTGCAAAAACAATAAAAACAAATGCATTTTCAATTAGAAGTTGATCATTTAAAATCAGCAACACCACTAAACGGGCCGCCCGATGAGCGCATCGCCTTCATTTTGGCCCATTGCATGGTGTGCTTGATGCGCATGTGATTCCTCACGGAATTCGGATGGGCAAATCGGCGGCCACACTGTAGCACCGGACAAACGGGACTATCGCGTGGATAATGCCGATCCAAATGCTGTCGAAATAGACGAGGTTCGAGTGGTGCTTCGCACAATGGGCATGGAAGTAAATAGCCGGACGGAACGGAAGATTGTAACATTTCACTTAGCTCATTGGCCGATGCATGACGATGCGATCGCGATAGTAAAATTGAAGCGGACAATAAATTGTGACGCTGCTGTTGATCACGATACGAAACAGCATCGTTGTGTGATGTACTGGATGACTTGCTATAATTGACATTCGGTTGTTTTTTCTTTGACGCATTCGACGATGAATGTGAGCCCATTGATGACGGTGTATATCGATCATCTTCATCGTTTACTTCTTGCTTTATGACTCCATCGATCGCAGACGTGGCGTTGAAGTCGCGCTGCTGGCTCTGGACATCATCTGCATTTTGAATGTCGTGTTGTTGTTGGTGGTTGTTTTAGGGGAAATTTGATTGGTTTTTATTCGTTTTTTGTCTATGAATGGAATTTTATTTTGATTTGCTTTGCTTTGCAAAGCGTTAGTAGGTTGTGTGTATGTGTGTATTTGCGCAAGTGATTTACATCTGCCTTGACTTGTTCGACCCTGATCTCATATTTTTGCATCAACCATCACCAACAACCTTTCACATTTCGAACTGATTTGTTTCGTGTTTTATTTTTTTATTTTGGAAAATGGAATTTTGAAAATGCTTTGTTTTTATTGTTCGTTTCATATTCATTTTTTTTTTCGAAAACCAATCACATATCCTTTGGATAGACGAAAAAATAACTACACAAGAAAAAAAAAACTAACGAGAACAAGAAAGGAATTTTGGAAAAAAAAAACTGCAACAAAAACATCAACTTTGGCTCGTCTACTCTCAATTGCTTTTGTACCAATCAGATGGGAAACAAATAATGCCAGTTTATCGTTCATCAGTTCTAGTTGTAAAATTTGTGCGCAATTTTGCTTCGTTTTTCATCAATAAAAATTTGGATTTTACACATATTCTAATCAATACCAAAGAAGAATTTTCTTTTCCGTTCAAATGTTCAATGCGTTTATTAGATCACGGTCGTTTTGGATGGTAACTAATAACTAAACTTTCGATGCAACTTGTCGAATGAAAAATATTATTATATTAAAGATTTTACGTTTGGAATCTATTTGAAAAGATTGCCAATATGTTTTCATTGTCAGACCGAAATCGTCAGACCAAAATGTCAACATTTTCCATTCGAAAATTTTGAATCTAAAAAAAATGTTGCATCGAATATTCAAGTTTGCAAGTCTGTTCCATAGTTAATACAAGAAAAACATGGAATTTATGTGGAACATCTACATTCATTTGAACCAAAGCAACAAATTAACAAAAAAATTACATACATTTACGTATCGGGTATATGAGGGATATATGGTGCGAGTGAAACAATAAACACAATAAACAAACAAACAGAAAAAAAACGAACGAAAAAAAAACTAAGAACATGATGGAAACGATAATGAAAGAACCTATATACAGCCAAAGTAGGAAAAAAACACGGCCAAGTAGAATAAGGGTGACTTTCTTTTGACAATGTTCGATTGATGTTCAATTAAATGCGCAAAATTAATAATTTTGTGTGTGTGTGTGTCTTGATGCGATGGGTGGGGTCTTCTGAACACAACATTATCATCATCATCAGACGCGCTGATGGATTCCATGTGCTTGCAACTGATGATTGATTAAATAGTGTTTGGTTTTCAGTTTTTTGCCACACGTTCGGCACTCATGCCACATTGACTTATCGACAAAACAATGAACATTTCGAACGTGTTGCTTCAAATTGCTGGCATTCGAGTACGATTTACCGCAATGAAAACACTGTGGCCCGGCCAGTGTATGCAAATCAATGCCGGTACTTCTATTCATCGATGCAAATTGCAGACGATGATATTGTTGCGTATGAACATCATGTTGGTGGTGATATTTTCATCCATTTGCCATGGCCGAAGCATTCGATGGCACATCGCATATGATGACGATGATGATGTTTGTGGATTAAGCGTCTCAGCCGCCCCTGCAAGAAGGAGGGCGGCTAAGAATATAATCGCATCGACTTTCTGACTAACTATTGAATTTTCGGAAAATTCCATACAGAATCGAAGCCAAAGAAGCAAACAAACAAATGATAAATAATTTTGAATTCGTGACCAATTTGCAATATTTTGCGTCGTGATTTGATAATGGTTTTTCATGTGATTAAGTCTCCTCTTATTCACACCCCTTTTTTTCCTCTTTCTAACGGTATAAAAATCTTAGCCACCGTATAAGAGTTGGATAAATAATTTTGCCGTGCTACTTTAATCAATTTTGCTAATGGGGTCTGAAGGCTTGCATATCCATTACGATGATGATATCAATTCGTTCGCAAAGAAAAAAAAAGAACATCGAGCCCATAATGCCGAAACTAGCACACGTGATTTTTGCTGTCAATTTCAATTTTTCACATACTACTTTCGTTCGCCTTTTCTCTCTCTTCTTCTTCTTCTTCTTCTTTTTCGTTATTTGGTGCGGCAAAATGCGCGCGCTCATTTCGATGTGGGCAAGTTTGTGTTTGTTGAGCGCCCTAAAAATAGTTGAGCTGATTTGGACTTATTGGCCAAGTACGAGTGAAAATATCTATATAACGAAAATACGAAGACAAAGAGATAGCAAGCGGATCATTTGTAATCAAACGAGTAAATATTCGGAAGAGAAATGCGTGCTTGTGTTAATCGCGCAAATGTAATTTCATTTTCTTGGCATTGTTTTTCTTTGGCGATGTGCGCTTCTTTTTTTCGGTGTGTGTGTGTGTGTCTACTCTCCATTCGCCAGCCAAACATTTAAGACTTGGGTGTGTTTTCCAGCATAGCATAACTACCGATAATGAATTGATTACGATTGTGAAATATTTTCGAGCCGTGTATGTCTGTGTCCTTATTTCACAACGAACCAGTGGTGCGAGGTGTACAGCACGCGTACATTTTGATTTTTGTACACGTCGAAGAAGAAAAAAAAAACAAGAAAAGAAAAAAAACCATCCATAAAAGCGAAATGAATGTGCGGCGTTCATGTAAT